GCTTATTGAAACAAGGTTAAGCCTATGCTTAGGAATGAATTAATTATCTCTTTATCCTATATACCAAGACTTTACCCATACCTCCTCTCATGGGTCAGGTCTGTTCTCCATGACTGGTTGTCCCTGGCCTTCCTCTGAAAACCTATATAAAATTCCCCACATCCAAGATTAAGATAAACATATACCCAGGAAGCCTAGTGTCAGTGAAATCAGTCTAGTGTGAATCAAGTCAGCCATTAAAAATGCATTTCCCATTTTACTTGCTCTATTTTAAAAGATCATTATATAATGAAGAGATTTGGACATATCCTAAGTAACAGTTCTAGGTAGTTAAGTTCACTTAGCAATTAAAAAGGGCAGCTCACAAATGATCTTAAGAATTCCATGATTTTGAAGAGATGTTATTACGTGACATGAAAAATATCTGTAAGACAAGTAAAGGGGAACTAGGGGAAAATTTGGCAACATAAAATGAATGACTTCTTTTTAAGTTGGAGGGCCTCAAGTCAGGGTAAGTCCTAACATTTACACCTATTTACTTAGTTTTTGATACAGGGTCTTACTGTGTAGCCTGGCTGGCCTTGAACTCAAGAGATCCACCTGCTTCTGCCTCAAGAGCGCTGATAGTAAAGGAATGTACTACTGGGGAAGACACATTTTTTAACCTTTTTTTTTTAAGCATTATTTCATAGTTGGTTAAGAGTGTGTGCATGCGCACGAGTGCTCCCAAATACATATACAAAAACCAGAGAAAGACGCTGTGTCTTTCTTGATCACTCTCTACCTCCCGTCTACCATGGGTTCTAGGAACCAAACTTTAGGCCATCAGGCTTATGCAGCAAGCACCTTTCTCCACAGAACCACCTTACTGGGTTTCCACCTTACTTTTTGAAACTGTCTCAATTAAGCTGAAGCTCATGATTTCAGCTAGGCTGACCAGCCAGTGAACTCCCAAGATACACTTGTCTCCATGTCCCAGCACAGGATCTACAGACACAAGAGGCTACATCTAGCTCTTATATGGGTACTAGAGATTGGAACTCAGGTCCTCTTGCTTCTCACAAGTGTTCTTATTCACCAAGACATTTTTTTAATTTTGAAACATGAATGTGAATGAGGAAATTTACCTACACTGTAACAAAAAGTCCACTTATGCCTCTGTCTAGTAGGACAGATGTTCTCATCAAGGAAGTTGGGGAAACAATGAGAAGAGCAGAGACTATTAATTATCTCCAAGAAGCAAAATGCCTCAATAACTAAGTCTAGTCAGTTGAAGACTGGTATAAATCATCTTCTGCACAAACCTTGCAATTATAAAATCACCCAATGAAGACCTAAAAATGGATGATACTAGGAAGGAAGGAAGTGGTTTAAGTGCATTGAAGTCTCCTATCATTCAGAAAACATAGAAATGGAGATAAATACTAGTGCACAATGACACAATTTAAAAATTGTTTCCATTACTGAACAGAATAGCTTATGACTTTAAAAAAAAACACGTGAAATCATTTTCATTAAGAATTTTCGTTTTTAAGGCCAGTCAATGACTCAATGGGGCATAGATGCTTCCTGTTGGGCTTGAAGACCCAAGCTTGATTCCCCAGGATGAACACTGTAGGAGAAGTTGTCTACTGACTTCTATATAGTGAGTGAACACACGCATATAAATGTAATAAGATTTCAAATTTTCAGTATTTTTTAAGTAGAGATGCTTAAAATACAGTTCACAGGGATAGGTATCCCTAACTTAGATGACTACAGTTCAAACTTTCAGAGGTTGCCCCACAAAATTCTCACAAACCACAGAGAAAAACTGAAGGTCAGTGGAGACTATGGACCCAGATCATGTACTTAGGAAAATCCCTGAGAAACTACAAATCCAGATTAAAATGCTGGTCATGAGTAAATGCTAAGTCACAAGTCTACAAATAACATACAGGAATAACATAACAAAGGAGGCGGTTGGACTTACCACCATTAGGCCCATTTGTCTATCAGAGAACATTCCTTTAAATAGGCAATTCTAGGAGGTAGCCCTGGGAGACAACCATCGTAAAGTGTGGTGAAAGGTGTAAACTAAACTCAAGGGTTCACCTCTAGAAGTAAAGGGACCAGTCTCTCACTCAGCCAGCTTTAGCAGCCATGACAGGTACAGAAAAGACACACAGGCCTCTGACACAAGGAAACTCCAGATTCTCTGGCCTCTTGGAGCCTAGGTTCAAAACTGAACACAAAGAAACTCCAGAGCACTCCCAGCCTCCTAGATACTTGGCTCCTAGGAACTGTTTGACCATAAAAGAAACTCCAGGGGAGACCAAAAACTTCCCTATAGTATCCAGGATATAGTTCTGAAAACTATTGGTATCTATGTACAACAGGCCTCCTGCAAGTAACAAGACAATGCCATAGAAACCACAGAATGTTCCCTCTCAGCATTGACCAATAAGAATAATTGGTACACAAGTATTTCATGCCAAAATATGGCTTTGAGAAATTCTCCTAATTGTTCCCAAATGTTAACCAATCAGAAACCAACCTGTACCTCCTGATGTAATCCTGTAACTTTTGTCTATAAAACCTATCAGAGACAGGGAACTTCACTCCCTTTGGAGGCCTGCTGCATCAGCTTGCTAGAAGGGGTCCCTGTTATGGTTGGATGAACAATTAAAACCTTGCTTTTGCAGTTTAGTGGGTCTACCTCCCTGGTGGTCTCTGGGGATCTTTGTGGCTTGGGCACAACAGTGGTATGCCATAAAGCCCCATTTCTCTTCTTAAGAAAAGCCTAATTCTGCCAGCTAGACAAAATGGCCATAAGTAACTAATTGGAAAAGAACAATGAAAGTATACTTAAAAATAATTCAGGCAACATGGATTATCTTTGCTGTATATGTGGCCAGAGTTATACAGTTTCCTGTCTCTGTCTAAATTGGTCAAAGTGTAAACTGGATCTGGGACCTGAAAGGAATTTAAGGATAACAACATACATGGAATGCATAAACCTAAGGTGTATGCAAGTTAGCAAAATCTTATTCTCTTTTCTTTTTTAAGATTTATTTACCTGCTGGGTGGTGGTAGTACATACCTTTAATCCCAGCACTCAGGAGGCAGAGTGCAGAAGGATCTCTGTGAGTTGGAGACCAGCCTGGTCTACAAGAGCTAGTTCCAGGACAGCCTCCAAAGCCAGAGAAACCCTGTCTCTGGGGAAAAAAAATGTATTTACTTATTATGTATACAGTGTTCTGCCTGCATGTATGCCTGCAGCCAGAAGAGGGCACTAGATCTCATTAGAGATGGTTGTGAGCCAACATGTGGTGGTTGCTGGGCATTGAACTCAGGACCTCTGGAAGAGCAGTCAGTGCTCTTAACTTCTGAGCCATCTCTCCAGGCCCAAAATCTTCTATTCTTGACTATCCTTGACTATCCTTGTTGGGGCCCCTTAAAGATGGCTCCGATTCATCTTGGCTCAAGGTCAGAGAGTTAAAAACTGTCCTTAGTAAGTCATAAAACCTTAAGGTCTAAGGTGTGACTACAGTAGGATGTTTGATCTTGGCCTTGGGTGTCTTATATAAATGTCAACAAACTTGGTATGAGGTGTGGTTATTTCTGACCCTCAAGGCCAGATAACGAGAAATTGAATCTAAGGTGTGGTTACCAAATCCTTGGAGAACTGAGGATGAATGTCTGTTCCATATACATGATACCATGTTCTGCTTTTTGGTTAAGGTATTTAAGAATGGTGAAGAATAAACTTCGGGTGTTCAGTATTCACTGGATTTGCTATCCTGACTCTATCCTGTGTCTTAACCTCTTTACCTACCCTTTCTCTATCCACACTCCCCTCTCAGATATGAACCGGGCAAGTCGGCTGACTCTGACGGTAGCCCCACAAACACAGCCTTCCCACATATCCTTTTTGAGCATTAGCCAGAGCTGGACTCAGACCATCATTAAAAGGTTTTTTTCTTTATTTTTTCCTGATCATGTGGACTAAATCCTGGGGGTGGGGTGGATTTACATATTTCTAATACAATACAATTCTATTATAATTGTAGGTTGTTAATCTGTTATTTACTGTAAAAGGCTTCAGTAATCAGTACTTAAAACCCTTGTAATTTAAGAACCCAAGGGATAGAGGTGGAGGTGGGAGTCTATGGCTTTAAATACAAATCATATAATTTATCAGTGTTTGAAAATGCCTTCTGGTCTTGCAAGGATAGCTGCCAACTAACCCTTGAACATTTAATTGAGCCTAATTTTTAATATCTATTTCAGAAAGGAGACAATTGCAGCCATAATTATAGGCACAATGCAAGTCAATACTGTTCAATGTCTTGAGGCTTTTATTTCATAATTAAATTATTAGGTGGGTAGGTGGGCCAGTTCATTTAGTGTGCTTTAATAAAACCCTAGAAATCTGACATATTAATTTATGCCATCGTCATTGTCAGACACAATCTGGCAATCTGTGAAAGTCAACAAGGACCTCTGCAGCCCGGGGGCATCCTGTGTCCCTCTTCCACTCCTAAGCAAAATAGGGGTCCCAAGGCCGGATGAACACAGAGAAAGGTCACCTGGTATTTAAAAACAGCAGCTGAGGCCTCTACACAAAACCTATAAGCTCATCACTTACAATGCTTAGGGTCAACATCCCCAAGCTACCAACTGTTACTGCAGACCTGGCCGCAAACACAGGCGGGTCCGCCCGTTGACCTTGGAGAACTTAGCCGGGCCAAGACAGGGAAGGCCCGGCTCCACTCCCGCGGCCGTGGGGTCGTGACCTTCGCCGGGAAGCCGTCCGCTCTGGCACAAACAGGGTGGGATAGCGGGATTAGGAGTACGCTCGGCATCCCTGGTGCCCGCCACCCCGAGGCACTGACTCACCGCCCCAGCTAGCGCCAAGCGCCGCCCGCGAAGAAGTCGCGAAACTGCTCCAATGCCGGCCATGTCTCCGCAGTCCCACAAGCCTCAGCGACAACTGCGCTTGCGCACCACGCTACGCCGGCTTTGAAAACGCTGCGCCTGCGCACCACGTCGGGCTCCCGGGAGAGGCGGTGCGCTCTGCAGACGCCCCTGGAGCGTCTTTGAGCTAAGGTGTCAGCTTCGCCGATGTGCTCTGCTCCAGGGGTAAGTGGGTACCGCTGTCTTTAAAGTGCTTCCGCGGGTAGTTCTTCGAGTCGGAGGATCTGGACAGATGGAAGTGGGGCCCTCGGGGCAGCGACCTCAGCGGGGTCTCAAGGAATGGGCGGGAGCTGCCGCCCTGGGCTTTTGGAGTGGGTAGGAAGGATCCCTTGGTGGCTGGACCAGGGGCTGCTGGGCTGGGCAGCGCAGAAGCCGGGCAAACAGTGCCAAAAGCTTCCGTCTCCATTTCAGATGCTGGGAACTCGGGGCCTGTCCTGTTGTCATCCCGAAAGCTACTTAGATCGTGTCTGGGACTAGCATTCCTTCTTGCAAACTCGGTCTGATTTGACCAGATTCAGATAGTATTTCTGTTTTCCTAGTGAAATAGCTGAGAATTTCGGCATAATTAAATGCTATAAAAAGTAAACCAAGCCTGGCGTTGGTGGCGCACGCCTTTAATCCCAGCACTCGGGAGGCAGAGGCAGGCAGATCTCTTGAGTTCGAGGCCAACATGGGCTATAGCGCGACTGCCAGGATAGGCTCCAAAGCTACACAGAGAAACCCTGTCTCGAAAAAACAAAAACAAACAAGCAAAAAAGTAAAACAATAATCGCAATCATTTTCTGAATTTTCACTTGATATTAGATTAAGTTCTTCCTCTTGATACGCAATGTTATGAACATAATTTTGTATTATTTTATTAAGTTTACAATGACTCGTTCCCATTTTATTTCTTATAATTGTTTTTATTAATGAACAAGGAAATGTGGACTGTATTTCTGTACAACACTTTATATATAGCCCAGAAATGGATGATATTTTTGTGGAGGGAATAAGTAATACAGCTGGCCCTCCAAGGGTGGGTTCAACCAATTGTGTCTGTTCTGAGTATGTGCAGACTTTTTTTTGTTGTTTTTTTGGTTTTTCGAGATAGGGTTTCTCTGTATTGTTTAGGAGGCTGTCCTGGAACTCACTCTGTAGACCAGGCTGGCCTCGAACTCACAGATCCACTTGCCTCTGCCTCCCCAGTGCTGGAATTAAAGGCATGTGCCAGCAACGCCCGTCCCAGAGTTGTTTGTTTGTTTTTCGAGACAGGGTTTCTCAATGGAACTTCCTCTTGTAGACCAGGCTGGTCTCGAACTCACAGAGATACTCCTGCCTCTGCCTCCCTAGTGCTGGGATGAAAGGCGTGTGCCACCAATGCTGGACTTGGTTTACTTTATAGCATTTAATTATTTTTTTTTCAACAAGAGGGGAATAAATCATGTCAACTACTTAAGTTCCTTTAAACCGTATTAGGTATTGATGATTTAGAGATAATCCAAAGTATTGAGCAGATTACATTCAAATATGCCGTTTTATGTGGGAATCTTGACTGTCTTCAAGGCCTCCCCCACAGATATCTGAGGTATGACTTATACAATTTATATCTTTTTCCTTTTCTTCAAGGAATAGCTCCATGAATAACTTAAATGACCCCCCACATTGGAACATCCTGCCCAATCCCAGGGCTGATGGAGGTGATGGAAGCAAGTGGAATTATGCCCTGTTGGTGCCAATGCTGGGATTGGCAGCGTTTCGTAAGTTATGATTGTATTGACATCTCTGTTTCCTGATCCAGAAGTAGGTTGCTGCAGGGGCTGGACACCCTAAAGATTATCTTTAGGACTTGACCAACACAGTGTAGTTTTACCCTTACAGCAGCTCTGACAGGGTTAGTGTAGTTGGGTTTTCTTTGGATCGCCAGTCCCCAAATAACAGCACAGAGACTTTTAATTATGAAGCTTGGCCTGAGCTTAGGCTTGTTCCCAGCCAGCTCTTCTAACTTAACCTGTTTCTATTAATCTGCATTTTACCATGTGGCTCTGTACTTGTACTCTGTTCTGTACGTCTGATGTGGGTGAAATCCTCAAGCCTAGATTCGTACTCTGAGTCCCTCTCTGCCCAAAAGTCCTGCCTAAACTCTCCTGCCTAGCTATTGGCCATTCAGCTTTGTATTAAAACAATCACGAAGATATAAATCCTCACACAGTGTAAGCAAAATATCCCGCAACAAATTGGCTTCTCTGATCCTGTTTACCAGTTCCTAGAAAGTAACCGACAAAAGCATTTGACATGGGTTAGTGATATAAGACAGAAACAACAACAACAACAATAAAAAATATATATATATAGGGACTGTCATCTGTGTATATTTGATTCTTTTCTAAAACTCTAATCTCCTTCATGTGTATTATCTTCCTTAGGATCGCCTTTCCCAGTATTCATACACATAGAAGTTTTAATAAGCTTCTGCTTTCTCTCAGTGCTTCACTGTTCTATGGTTACCCTTCTCAGGACTGACAGAAAAATTGACCTAAAAGAAAACCAGTTAGGCTTTCTTTCTATGCCTATATCGCTCCCACCAGCATGATGAACGTTCCTCAGACCCGCCGGATGTTCTGGAAGAAATGTGGCAAGCACCAGCCCCATAAAGTGTGGCCCAGTACAAGAAGGGCAAGGTCTCTTTGTACTGTACGCCCAGGGAAAGCAGCGCTGTGACCAGAAACAGAGTGGCTATGGTGGGCAGACTAAGCCTGTTTTCTGCAAAAAAAAAAAAAAAAAAAAAAAAAAAAGGCTAAAACTAAAGATTGTGCTGAGACTTAAGTGTGTTGAGCGCAACTGCAGATCTAAGAGGATGCTGGCATTTTTCTTTTGTTTTGTTTTTCAAGGCAGGTATTGTTTTGGAGGCTGGCCTCAAACTCACAGAGATCCTCCTGCCTCTGCCTCCGTGTGCCACCAATGCCTGGCTGAGATATAAGCATTTTGAATTGGGAGGCAATAAGAAGAGAAAGGGCCAAGTGGTCCAGTTCTAAGTTGATCTTGTTATGAAGACAATAAAATCACAATAAAAGAAACTCAAAAAGAAAAGAAAACCAGTTAGGATGCATATTTAGTATTTTAAAAGTCAGGTATTTGGGTGAGTTTGCCCAGGAAAACTACTTTGCAGGCTAGAAATCCTCATGTTTAAATTGACTAAACACCACTGAGACTCTTACCAGTCATGGACTACAATATATATGGGCATATGTGTGTTTGTGGGTGTAGTGAAAGAAAATTTGAGAAAACCCGAGCCCTTAACTGTGTTCCCACCTATGATTGATGATGTGGAAGAGTTGCTTTACATTTCTTCATGCCTTGTTCTGGTTGACCTCTAAAAATACGAGAAGCTGATGATTCAATAAATGAAAAGCAAGTACTGTGCTATATGTATAGTGATCATTTTTATACAGTAGCTTTTTATGTCTGCCATGGAGGAAGAAGAGGGATCTAAACGTTGTTGGTGCCAGTCTAGATCATCCCAGAGGGCACTGTATAAAAGCTCTTGCTTGTCACCCTCTTTCAGCGAACTGTTCACCATAAAAGGCATCTATTGCTGTGGTTCTTGAGTGGCTTGGAAGCCTTAAAAGTACACCTATTACAAGTAGACTCTCATCCAATAGTGGTGTTAGTCACTTTGAGTTAGCTTTGAGAACGGGAGAGGCCCTTTCATTTTCCATGTATTTTTCAGATTTGTTTGTAGCTTCCAAGATTCTTGCTTTTTCTTTTTTGATGTTCAAGTTGGTACTTTTTGCCCTGAGAAGGATTGAAAATTGTTTTATGTTTCTATATTGATTATCCTGGTTAAATAATGTATCCTGGTTAAATAAGGGATAATGTGTTTGTTTTTTGTTTGTTTGTTTGTATTTTTTGTTTGCTGTTGTTGTTGTTACCTTTAAATCAGGGTTTCACTGCCTATATTCACAACCCTCATGCCTCAGTTTAGGTGTGTGCAAGGACAGCCTAGCCTGGAGGTAATTTTTAACTTTGCATTCTTAGAAGGATTGTCTAAAAGTAAGTTGCTGCATGTTTGAGAAGGTGTGTTGTGACATGCTTGTGTTAACTATCCTCCATCATGATCTGGGAGTAACAGCAGATGGATGAATGCTTTACTTGATAACCTCTGAATGAGATCTACTGTAGTCTCTGAAGGTTTAAATCTCGTGGCCAACCCTCCCTTCTTCCTTTCTTCCTTCTTTTCATAGCTTTCAATACAATTCAGAACTGGTAAAGTTGTGCTTACCTTGAAGAATATCTGTCACTCTTTGGCAGGCTTAGATCTCCTTGTCTGTGTTGTGCCTTCTTTCTCATTCCCTATTTCTCTGTTCATTCTTCCCTTCTTCCTTTACCCCTCTCCCTCCCTCACCTTCTCTTGAATAGAAAAGAAACTGTCTTAGATCTAAAGTGAAGTGTCTGCAATACTGAGCTTAATCGCTTAGTACAACTCAGTTTAGTCAAAAGAGATGGTATTGAGACCACGTATAGTTGTAATAAGTGACACAGAGAGATTGGGTAGCCTTTTACTCAGTTCCCCCTAGTGGTTACCTCATGCAGACTCATGTGAGACATGGATCTTTATGGTTGACACAGGCAAGATAAGGATAACATCACATTATGACGGAACACCTGTTATTTCATAGCCAATTGATCCTTAAGGTTATATAACTGGAGGTATGAAGTCTCTGTTAGATAAATCTAAAATATCTGATCTTCCTGGGCTTTGGTATGACTATTGTGCTTTGAAACCTGCAAGTTTTGGATGTCCAAGCTGGCCTTGAGCATGGAATCCTCCTTTCTCTTAGCCTCCCAAGTACTAGAATTACAAGTGCTTGCTACCAGGTCCAACCTAAGTTGAACTTCATCTTATTTGTGTAAAACATAATAGCAAACCCACCAGACTTAGGCTATATACAGAAGAAAAGTAAACCCAAGTGTGACTTCGAACAGTATTTGAAGCCTACCCATATTAATTTTTTTAAACATTGGCAATAAGCCAATGGAGCACTGAGGCAGAGCAGTGATAAATTTTTCCAGCCATGGAAGTTAGACACCAGAACATGGACATTGAATGTGCTGCTTTAGGTTCCCAGCACTAGTGAGTTTAGGATAAGAACTTTGCCTACTTTGCTATCTATGAAATTTCAATGACTTAGTACCTTTGAAGTCTTGGGCTTTTACTGAAATGCTGTCATTACTGTGTTATAATTTTTTCTTAGATAGCCATAGGATTTTAATTGTGTCTCTAAATATGTCTTCCTTATCTCTTCCTCATGTCAGGTTGGATTTGGTCTAGGGAATCCCAAAAAGAAATAGAGAAAGTAAGAGAAGCATGTCATCAGAGAACAGCTGCTTTCCAACAGGATCTTGAAGCTAAATACCACGCCGTGATCTCAGAACATCGACGTGCAGTTGCTCAACTGTCTTTGGAACTGGAAAAGGAGCAAAACAGAACAACTAGTTTTCGAGAAGCCCTTATTTCTCAGGGCCGGAAGTTGGCAGAAGAGAGGAAGCTTCTTGAACAGGAACGCACTCAGCTGATGCAAGAAAAAAGCCAGTTGCAGCCTCTGAGAAGTGTCTACCTGAGCTGCCTGGAAGGAGAGGATGACTGGCAGAGCAGAGCCCGGGCTGTGCTGAAGGATGTGGGAGAAGCTTTAGTGGAACGCCAAAATATCTACTGCAGCCCGATCCTTCCCCGGAGTAAAAGGCTGGAGCTGGAGAAGAAGTTACTGGTGCGCTCGTCTGTTGATCCGGTGGCTGCTGACCTAGACATGGCAGCTGGCTTATATGACATATTTAAGCATGATAAGCATTGTGGAGATGTCTGGAACACCAACAAATGTAAAAATGGGAAGCTCATGTGGATGTATCTCAAATATTGGGAACTACTTATTGAACTTAAAAAGTTCAAGAGAGTAGAGAAAGTCATACTAGAAAAATAAGAGTGAAATGAAACTTAAGACCAGGTGGGGGCCATTCACCGTGGCAATCAACCTGCATTCTGGGCTCTCTGATATTTACTCTGTTCCTTTACCACCAGGTGTGACTTGGTGCAGCTACCGTTTTGCGAGAACTCAAGTCTTTGCACCCTTTGAACAGTGCAGTAGGGACTTAGCAGATGAGGTTTTTCTGTGATGCTCTGCAGACATCAGAGATTCACTTTTTCTGAAGCATTTTTGAGCTGCTAATATTTAGCAGAACAAGTACAACCATATATTTTAGTTCTAGGGTAAAGAAATAATTTAAAGCTCAAATATATTACTCTTAAGAAATGCTTTATCAGCCGGGCGGTGGTGGCGCACGCCTTTAATCCCAGCACTCGGGAGGCAGAGGCAGGCGGATCTCTGAGTTCAAGGCCAGGCTGGACCGACAGCCTCCAAAACAATACAGAGAAACCCTGTCTCGTAAAAACCAAAAAAAAAAAAAAAATGTTTTATCAGTTTTTACCTCTACTCCAATTACTGTCCTCCCTTCCCTGATTTCATCTAAAAGTTTTATTACCAAGATTTATCTTGTTTGGACCATTTTTTCCCCACAAAGAAAAAAACCACCAAGTGTTATGCTCAGCTGGTGTCCCAGTGAATGCTTAGAACTCAGTAAGCATGTTTATTAGCAATGGCACGCAGTCAGTAATATTTGTCATTTAAAATTGATGGCCTCACTTTTTATTTGTGTGATTCTTTACTGTTCTTTTGAGACAATGTTGCTACATAGTCCAGGCAGACCTCATATGTGCCATCTTCCTGCCTCAGGCTCCCAAGTGCTGGGATTACAAATGTGCGTCTTGGGTTGGTAATTTCACATGTATTGTCTCAGTTTTTAGCATTATTTGAAAAGTAGACAAGTACTTATAGCTTATTTACATACAGCTTATATGAGTTGCTCCTATGTATATAACTTATATAATCCTTACTCTGGTTTTATGAGCTAAGTGCTATTATTTATCTTTTAAGTGGTTATTTCCCAAGATACCCAGATTCTATGACTTACTCTGGTTTTATGAGCTAAGTGCTATTATTTTGTAAATGGTAGTTTCCCAAGATATCCAGAGTCTATGACTTGCCATGGTTTTCTAAGCTTTTACCTGTGATTGCTCTCAGGGCTAATATTTGTTGTAGCAAGAAATATAAAATTAGCAATGGCATGTTGAGCAAGTCTAGAGGGAACCAGATGGAGCCCCCAGGGTCAAATTCTATGGAATTACAGGGAATATTTTCTAGTTTAGGGGCAAGCTGTGACATGACAGGTTTCCAGGAAAGCTCACTGGTAACTTTTGATGGGTTAAGGGCTATTTATGTAACCCCTCTGACATATAGCAGTTCCATTCCTAGTGGAAGGAAAGTGGCAGACATCACTCATATTCTGCAAGCAGTTTAGGTGTGGTAATCCAGGTTCCCAGACACCTGTTAGGTACTAGCCTTGTGAGAGGATGCAGTCAGTATGAAGACTGTTAAGTGAGCTCTTCTACATAGCTTTATTTCCTGGAGGACAGAATCTGGAGCCATGATAGAGAGATGGTAATCTGCCGAGGTGATGGTTAGAATTTTATGGAGTGAGTCTGAACTGGGTGTTTGATTTCTAAAACTAGGAGCCTAGGTTTGCTTGTTTGTCAGTGGCCATGCAGGAAGTGAATGAAGTGGTTAGTTTGTGTATGGATCCTATATTCCACCATGTACATATCTTTCAGAATAAAAAATATGACAAACTTAAAAATGCTTATACAGAAGACAGTTCAGCTATGGAATGATTGAGGAACACTGGCGCTCATGTTTTTATCCCACATTAAGTTCTCAGAACCATCTTGGCAGAATTGGCAGCGGGCTCTGTCAGCTAAATCCAGCTGATTCCAGCTTCAGTTAAAGCTCTTCTCAATAAATACTTACCATGTCTTTCTGCTGTATTACCAGCACTGTCTCTGAGAAGTGATTTGTTCTAGTAATCTAAAAACCAGTTTTCTCAGGTTGTTTCCTATGTGTTAGATCCTTGAAGGAAGCCCCATAGTCTCTGGTTTCTGTTAACTCCACTGATCTGTCCGGTGATCTTGGACAGACCACTTCATGGCTTTCTCTAAGGTTTATCTTTTTGTTTGTTTGGTTTGGATTTTTCTGTCTAGCCTTGTCCTGGAACTCTGTAGACCAGGCTGGCCTTGAACTCACAGACATCCACTCTGCCTCTAGGGTGCTGGAATAAAGGCGTGCACCACCCCCACCCTAAGGTTTACCTTTTAAAATGAGGACACGCTTTCCATGGGAACCACATCAACTGTTTGTGTCTGCCATGGCCACTTTCCATCCTAAGTCTGCTCTCTCTCTTTAAACTGAGATTGTTAGTAGCATATTTTTATTGCTGTGGGGGGGGGTCAAAAGGAAGTACTCTGAAGTGGGAGCTTACCCAGGGGAGGAGATAGCATGGCAGACCCTTGGGCTGGCACATGGCATAGAAGGTTATGGAGTTAAGCTTTCATTTCTGTCCCAAGAAAATTTTTTTCATACTCTGAATTTTAAAATTCAGAATATCAATGAAATAAAAGCTGTACATAAGTTAAGCCACATTCCTATTTTATTAGCATTTAATTACATTAATAATTTTGCAAAGCAGATGCTGGAAATGAAGTCCAGGCAGGGTCTTCATCATTTGGTGATTTGCTCCTGAGAGGAGTTGCAAAGCTCCAGGTCTCAGCCACTCTGAAGAGCAGTGATTTGCACGCTATCATATACAAAGTGCATGCTTGAAAACTATAACTGAGTCAACAAATTTCATAAGCATAATCTGTCTTAGATAAGGTTATGGTTTTGTGGTGGGCAGCATTCATAGCTATCCTCTGACACCATGGCTACATGGACTGTTCAGGTTGGGCATGCCTGTCTTTTTTTGGGGGGGGGAGGTGTTCGAGACAGGGTTTCTCTGTATTGTTTTGGAGCCTGTCCTGGAACTCGCTCAGTAGACCAGGCTGGTCTCCAACTCACAGAGATCTGCCTGCCTCTGCCTCCTGAGTACTGGGATTAAAAGCGTGCGCCACCAACACCCGGCTGGGCATGCCTGTCTTAAGGTCTGTATGCAAAGCGGAAAACAGGGTCAGAATATTCCAAGAATACTAAGGACTATTTTAGTAGCTAGATGTCCTCAGTCACCAAACCATGGTGCAAACACGCTAAGATTGGAAACAAAGCCAAGACAGCTAAGGGCAAAAAAAAAAAGATAATCCCCTCTCCCTCACCTTTCTGTGTAGGCGGATCTCATCTGGTTAAAAAGTACAACAGACAGAACATAGCTAAGCTTCTCCTAGGCTCGGGTCCAGTTCACTTTTATTCTGTGTCTTTCTTTCTCTGGTTATGTTGTATGAGCTGCTGCTCTTACACATTTTCTGTGATGAGTTTTCTCACTTCCTCCTCACTGCATCAGGGCCAAGTTGACCCTGCCCCCACTACATCCCTGGTGTCCACATTCCCCCCCACTTTCTACCTTGGTGACAGGTCTGTCGCTCTAGGTGGCGTCCCCTTTATTTTAGGACTCTGCCGTGCTGACACACACCCATTTATATAGCTGGGCTTCCTCTCCGAGCATGTAATGAGTATGACTGCAGTTTTCACTAAAGAATTCTGTGGCAGTGATACTGCTGGTGACAAATGGCTGGGCCTGACCTGACCCAGGACTGACCTCAGGGCACCATGCTAGTTAGAATGCACAGCCTCTTGTGGTATGATTTACAGGGCCTACTCCATTTCTTCTAGTGCTCTGGAAAAGTTTTCCAAAGCGGTTTTGAAAGCTTGCAGCAAGAAAGTCCCGAGTTCATTGCTGGTTTCATGAATGTCTGGGTCGAAACTTCCAAAAAGGGGGGTGGAGGCTTGGATGTCCTCCCGGCTAGCTCGAAGCAGTACAGCTCGCAGATCCTCTGCAATCATGTCGTATTTCTGTTGGTCAAATTTGGACACAGACATCTCATCCTGTGGGTAGGCGGTGCCCTCAGGGTAGCAGTCCTTTGGCACTGGAAACTCAATGTGGCGGAGCCTAGGGAGTTCGCACAGTGCAGCAAATAGGCGCTGGAGAGCACTGGCTGACAGTGGGTTTCCAAGGAACTTGAACTCCTGGAGCTGGCTGCAAGGGCTGAGGCCCAGAATCATCATGCCAACATGGTTGTCTGTGATGTTGCATTCTTCAAGGGTGAGTACTCTCAGTGTTTGGGCAGCCTGGCTCAGCAGCCTGAAGAAGGAAGAAGGGTACAGATGGACCAGGTTGTGTCCACTGAGGTCCAGCACCTCCAAGTGGGCAGTGTGCTTACAATCTGCTAAGAAGGACATATCTTCATGATTAAGGGCACAGTTGGCCAGGTCCAGCACTCTTAGTGGAGTCTTCAAGGGGCTGTAAGGTAGGCAAAAACATCACAGATGTTATGAGGGTCCCCAAGTAAGATGGAGTTTGGGCGGAGGTGGACAATATATCCACTTTTCTATCTTAGGGACCACAGACCACAGCCAGCCAGGAACTCCAGCTGGCACTTCATGTCACATGGCTTCTAAGAAGGAATGATATTTTTAAGCAATTGGGAAAAAATCAGAATAATTTGTGACATGTAAAAGCCCTGTGTTTCTACTGGTAGTTTATAGCTGCTGGTTCTGCTGAACAGTCTATAATTGAACCTAAAATGGACCAACACCACCTTTCAAGTTGAGTGGGGATATTAAGCATATGGTCTCAGAATTGTCAGACTATGGACTGGGGACAGAAAAACACAGAATAAGTTTGAAAGAAGGCACTGTCACCCCGATGATAATAGGATCAATACAATTTCAGGGCTGGGAAGAAAAGCCCTGAATTTGGATTTCATATCCTGAATTCACTAGACATCCTGTATCAGATGGGGGAGGTGTGTCTCTGGAATAACATTTCCACCCAGGATTCATTAGAATATACATTTTCATGCCATCCCATATACATTTTCTGGGACCCTCCCTAGATCTTTCTGGGAACATACCCATCACTGCCCTTATTAAGCAAGGCAGTGTGTACTGGGGTCTTTTTCTTTGTCCCTTCTACTCTGTTCTTGCCTCCCTACGGCCTGACCACACATAGTCCCATGTGACAACCTACACTACTGGGACAGTACTCTTCACATGAAGCCACCTTGACTTTATCACTATGTCAGCTGCCCTTCTTCATAGCAGAGTGCTGAGGAGGCCATAGCAGTACCAGGATTTCAGGTGAGACTGTTTCACCTGACAGCTGACATGACATTCTCACTGTGCTTAGCGACATTCCCATTCCTGACCTAGGAAAAGGGTTTTTTGGGGGGGGGGTATTTTGTTGGTTAGTTTTTTGTTTGTTTTTTCCAAGCAGAGTTTCTCCATATTACTTTGGAGCCTGTCCTGGAACTCGCTCTGTAGACCAGGCTGGCTTCAAACTCAAAGAGATCCGCCTGCCTCTGTCTCTGAGTGCTGGGATAGGAAAATGTTTTAGGACACTAAAGGTTGGGTAGTTTGTTATACAACAATAGTCATCAGACGATCTAGTTGTGCCTCCTGTGTTGTTTACCTTCTAATTAATTAGTGCCCTCCTCCTCCTCCCTCCTTCTCTGGTGCTGGGAATTAAAACTAGGATCCTGCTGCTGCTTTATCACTGAACTATCCTATATGCTCAGCCCTTGTCTCTGCTCACTGAGATAAGGCCTCTTTGTAGTTGGCCTCATACATACAATGCCACTGCCTATGCCTCCTGAGTACTGGGATTATGGCCAAGCCCCCATGCTTGGCTTTTGTTAACTGAAAGGCGTCTTCTACATTGACTGAGTGCTCTGGTTCTTTCCTGGTGTCTTAACTCCTGTGGCCCTGACCAACACATCCCCAGAAAACGTTGCATAGACAGATCCCCTCTCTATTCCTATACCTCAGTGACTCCAGCCTGGTCTACTCCACCCAACCTGTGCCCAGTTATTTGAGACTTACCTAAGCAGTGTTTGGATCTTCCCAGTCAGTGTAGAGAAAGCTACACTTAGCTCGGTGAGCTTCTTCATCTGGCTGAGCTCCCAAGCAATAGAGTTGAGGAGGGGATCCTCACCCTCTGGAGTTGGGGCACAGGTGGGTGGTGCATCAAAGGCCTTGGTGGGTAAGGTGAGTGAGGTCAGCTGAGGGAAGCCCACCTGGGCAAGCAGCTGCTGTACATGGCCAACATGTAACCGTACATTGTGTACTACTTCCAACTTTCTCAGCTTGCTTGGCCCAGCTAGACCAAGCACTTGAAGGAGCTGCCCTGGACTCAGGCTATCTGCACGGAGGGAAGGGCAGCAGACTTGCAGAGGGGCTGGGCCTGTTGGCTTCAAGGCCTGCACCACCATGTCAAAGTTGCCTTCTGTGACAAAGAGGTCAGTGAAGACTTCAATAGGGTGCCTAGCTGTACAGGGCTGTGCTTGGAGCTGGCAGCAGATCCTGGCCAGCACCTTTGTGCGGCCCCACCTTCCCAGTGCCCTCCCACAAGGACATTGCTGCACCTGTACGTCCTGGATGCCTGTGAAATCAGCTACCCGAAGCCGGTGGCTCCCTCTTTGCAGCACATGGTCAGCAAGGCCCTGCATACAGGCCTCCAGGCAGGTCTTGCAGGCACGATCACGCAGGTCTTCAGGGTGGTCAGTGTTTGGTCCCAGCAGCGCAGCCAGCCGGAACTCCTCTAGTGGCCAGTGACTCAGCACAGCACGAGTTACTTCTGCCTGCTCTAGCAGGTAACTGGCCTTGAACACGAGTGGGTAGAGGTTGTAGGCTATATGGTCCAGGTTCTCCTGGGCCAGCTGGGGGTGGGACACCAAGGCTTCAGCAGAAATGAAACGGAGCGACCTCATTGTGTCCCTGGTGAGGATGGTGCCGTCCCTGTTGTTCCTCCCAAAGCATGTGGGTTTTGTGCCTACTTTTAGCTGCTGCTGCTTCTGGGCTCTGGACAGAATGTGGTAAACTCCCTTGTGGTCATCTGACTGCTATTTTGGTACTTGGACACTAGTTTGGCTGTGACTGTGCAGGCATCTGTTTCATGGCATCCTGCCGGTGAAACCAGAGCTGCTTGGTTTTGTTGCCCAATGTGGGACCGATAAGAGTTTGAGCTCAAGATACTTGCACAAATAGTCTAAGGCTTACAATACAAATGGATACTTGGCCCAGCCCTGGCCTATCCCAGTCAAAAGATGAGTGAAGCCAGATCCCGAGCTGCACTTGGATAGATGAGACAGTTGTCTTTGGATAAAGTGCATCTTTTCCTTATACCTCCGAGTCAGAGATGCAAGGGCCAGGATTATGGAGTCGGTATCTCATACAACTCTTCAAATTTTAAGAATACTGACCCATGAAGCTTCACCACCTCTTATTCCCAAGGTCCTTCTTTGCACAAGAGAAATAGTTTCCCTGTAGAACAGATATAGACTGGTGAAGTAGGTGGTGCTGCAAATGAATGCAGTTACCTATAGGCTGTGGATTTTCAGCCCTAGCACAGGTGGATGCTGAGTAACTGTTGATTGGTTAGATCCTGCCTCCTCATCTTCCCCATCACCAGGGCCAGGGCAGCACATCCTAGCTCGTAGGTCCCCATGGTGCCAGCTGTACAGGAGAGTCAGAGTAGAGAAAGAAAGGGAGAGGCAGGAGGCAGACAGTGAGCGTGCTGCATTCAAGTGTACCCCGGTTTCCCTGTGTGACCTTCTCTGACTTCTTCCTCCCGATCTAGAGTTTTATCTCTCCCAAGGGCTCCGCCATGGACATAGATGGGAGCATGCTACCATGGTGGAGCACCAGGCACTGCCAGGTGGGCAGGATCTCTATAGAGGGCAATCCATGACACAACTCAGTCCTAATGTCACCACTTGCCCCTGTCCCCAATCTTGGCTGTTGTTGGTTGTTTTTTACTCTTTACCCTTTGCTTTCTTGGGGTATCTGCCACCCAGCTCCCAAATAAATCACATGAAGGCTTCTTCTTTATGAATGCCCAGTCGTAGCTTTTTGGGGTTTTAAGGGCGTAGTGGAGGGTTAGCTTTTTTTTTTTTTTTTTTTTTTTTTGGTTTTTCGAGACAGGGTTTCTCTGTATTGTTTTGGAGTCTGTCCTGGAACTCGCTCTGTAGACCAGGCTGGTCTTGAACTCACAGAGATCCTCCTGCCTCTGCCTCCTGAGTGCTAGATTAAAGGCGTGTGCCACCACCACCTGGCAGCTTTTCTTAACTTAAACTATCCCAGCTACCTTTAGCCTCTGTGGTTTACCTTTCTCTATTTCTGTATATCTTTCCTTCTTATTCAGTGTCTGGCCGTGTGACTGGGTATCTGACCCCTTCTTTTCTTGATTCTTGATCTCTTATCCCCAGATTTCCTCTATGTATTCTCTCTGCCTGCCAGCCCCACCTGTTGTTTCTCTTGCCTTGCTGTTGGTCATTCAGATTAGACCAATTAGATGTTTTAGATGGACAAAGTAACACAGCTTCACATAGTTAAACTAATTCAACATTAAAGAATGCGACACGGGGCCTAGAGAGATTCAGAAGTTAAGAGCCCTGACTTGAGTTTAATTCCCAGCAACTACTTGGCAGCTCACAACCATCTATAATGAGATCTGGTGCCCTCTTCTGGCCAGCAGACATACATGCAGGCAGAATGCTGTATACATAATAAATCTTAATTTAAAAAAATGCAACACATGCTTGCATAATTAAACAAATATTGCACAGCATAGACAAATGTAACACAGCTTAATATTCTACAACATTTGCTTGGCCTCTTAACTGTTACCATGTCTGTTAAATGAGAATCCCAAACTAGTGATACCAACATCTATCCTTTAAGTGATGAGAGAGTTTTCTGTGATGGTGTGGATGTCCTTCTGAATGCTGTGAATATATGTTTCTCTTATTGGTTGATGAATAAATGCTGATTGGCCTGTAGCCAGGCAGGAAGTATAGGCGGGGCTACCAGAGCAGGAGAATAGAGAGAGAGAGAGAGAGAGAGAGAGAGAGAGAGAGAGAGAGAGAGAGAGAGAGAGAGAGCGCAGTGAGACGCCATGTAGCTTCCGGAAGATAGGATGCCTGGGCATTTTCCAGTAAGCCAAGATTATATGGAAATACTTAGACTAATAGAAAGAGCCATTAAGAAGCCTGAGGCATCAGCCAAACAGTTTATAATTAATATAAGCCTCAGTGTATTTATTTGGGACTAAGGGCTGCGAGACCAGGCAAGACAGAAACATCCATTTACAAATGGTGCCCCCAATGTGGGGCAAGAATTTCCACATAAAGCCTGACAAAGCTTAAAAAGAGATTCTAAAAGCAAAAGCATCTTGGTAGCAGCATTTTCTCAGGTGGGCTCTGTTTGCTAGAGGCAGGCAGAGACACAGCTGCTTTAAGAGGGCAAGCAGAGACACGGCTGCTTTAAGAGGGCAAGCAGAGACACGGCTGCTTTAAGAGGGCAAGCAGAGACACGGCTGCTTTAAGAGGGGCGTCCTGACTCAGCTTTAGCAGCAAAAACTGCAAGGCTCTTTCAAGAGCCCCCACCAAACAATTACATGGTGTTCATGAGCAGCCAGTGGGCATGCCTCTTGGTGCTGGCATGGACCTAGACACTCCACAGAGTTGTAGTAATGAGCATGACTTCAACCGCCATTAACCTAGACTATCAGAAAGCCAAGGAATAGGGTGGGGATAGCCACTGCTTTAATCTTAACCGTGCTGTTTAGCAGATTAAAGACTCATGGTTAGAAAAAGATAGATACAGCAAAGGCTGATTCAGATGAAGAAAAACCTCTAAAAACATATGTAGCCACGGGAAAGAAAAGAAAAAGGATCGAGAAAATCCTTAAAAAAGAAATAGAGTCACTGGGTGTGGTGGCACATGCCTTTAATCCCAGCTCTCAGAAGGCAGAGGCAGGCAGATCTCTGTGGTTTCAAGGCCAGCCTGGTTTACAGAGTGAATTCCAGGACAGACAAAAATACACAGAGAAACCCTGTTTCAAAAAAACAAAAAATAAAAATAAAAGAAATACATCAATTCAAAAAAAGCAATGTAGGCCAGACCCTTCTTGTCAATGAATACTCTAGAGGGACCTGGAGACTGCCATTCCTACCCTGCCCCTCCACCTTCCGGGGAGACGTGAGAGACAGGCCCTCCTCCAGCCATCCTCTCCCTCTTTGTTCCCTCTTTGTGTTCCCTGACATGCAGAGGCCACCAGACCCTTCCTGCCACCAAATCCTGCAGAGGGACCTGGGGGCTCCTATTCCTGCCATGTCCCTCCATACTCTTGGAGGACAGAGAGAGAGAGAGAGAGAGAGAGAGAGAGAGAGAGAGAGAGAGAGAGAGAGAGAGAGAGAGAGAGAGAGCGCTGAAGGCAACATCGGCTGCCATTCCTGTCTTGCCCCTGCACCATCTGGGAGAGAGGACAGATCCTTGAACCCATACCCACCAGAAGAGGGAGAGACCCCACCTATATCCACTGAAAGAAGAGATGGGTATACGACACTATAAGAACACATCTAACAACAGAAAGACTTATATGACATGGCCACAGTCTAGTCTAGGGACTCTAAACTAGCAAGACCTGAACATCCCAATGCAGATGAAGCAGAAGAGAATGACCTTAAAAACAACTTCATGAAAATGATAGAGGCCCTCAAAGAGGATATGGAGAAATCCCTTAAAGAAATGGAAGAAAAAACACATTTATACAACAAGGACATCTGTTCCACTATGTTCATAGCAGCATTATTTGTAATAACCAGAACCTGGAAGCAACCTAGATGCCCCTCAACTGAAGAGTAGGTAGAGAATATGTGGTACATTTACACAGTGGAGTATTACTCAGCAGAAAAAAACAATGGAATCTTGAAATTCCCAGGCAAATGGATGGTACAAAAAGACAAGCATGGTATGTACTCACTCGTATATGGATTTTAGACATAGAGCAAAGGATTACCAGCCTACAATCCATAACCCCAGAGAAGCTAGGAAATGAGGAGGACCCTAGGAGATATACATGGTCCCCTGGAGAATGGGAAAGGGACAAGATCTTCTGAGTAAATTGGGAGCATGGGGGAGGGGAGAGGAGAACATGAGGGAGCAGGAAGGTTGAGTTGGGGTAGGAATAGAGGAGAGCAAGATAAGAGATACCATAATAGAGGGAGCCATTATAGGTTTAAAGAGAAATCTGGCACTAGGCAAATTTCCAGAGATCTACAAAGATGACACCAACTAACAATATAAGTAATAGTGGAGAGGCTACCTTAAATGCCCTTCCCTGACAATGAGACTGATGACTACCTTATATGCCATCCTAGAGCCTTTATCCAGTGGTTGATGGAAGCAGAAGCAGACACCCACAAACACTGAACTGAACTCCTGGAATCCAGTTGCAGAGAGGGAGGAGTGATGAGCAAAGGGGTCAAGACCAGGCTGGTGAAACCCACGGAAACAGATGAACTGAACAAGGGGGAAACCAGCATAGGACTGATCCAGACTCCCTGAAAGTGGGTGTCAGTTAGAAGGCCTGGACAATCTATGGGGTCTCTGGTAGTGGATCAGTATTTATCCCTAGCATATAAAAGGACTTTGGGAGCCCATTCCACATGGAGAGATACTCTCTCAACCAAGATACATGGGAGAGGGCCTAGGATGGGGAACTGGGATTGACATGTGGAACAAGCTTGCTTCAAAATTAAAGAAAAACAATTTTAAAAAGAAAAAGAAAAAAAGGCCATGTAAAGATGGAAAATATACAGAGTCTAGATACTGCATTATTATGAAAATATCTTTTACATTATAACAGTAATAATATACTTTGAGGTCATTAAAGACTTAAAAGTTATATCCTACTCAGCTTGTTTTTTTTTAACCCACCTTTAAGAGAACAATGTAACAACAAACCTTACTTTGGTTGAATTTCCCATGTAAACGATTTTCACAACCTAAGGCAATGCATAACTATAATCTTAAAATACTCTTCCATTCCCTTGGCCTAGAGCAAGTGTGTGTGTTTATATGCACACTGTGATAATGATTTGCTGAATATATTGAGAGTAACATTTTAAAACAAATATCCACCAAGTGTTGGAAACAAAATATGGATATTGCTTGATAGCATTTATTTGTTAGCTAGGTCAATTGGAATCAACTTTTTTTTAAAAATGATTTTATTATGTATACAGTCTTATGCCTGCATGCCAGCAGAGGGCACCAGATCTCATTTAAGGTGTTTGTGAGCCACTATGTTGTTGCCAGGGATTGAATTTAGGGCCTGTGGAAGAGCATTCAGTGCTCTTAACCCCTGAATCATCTCTCTAGCCCTGGAATCAACTCTTAAAAATGTCTATAAAGAAATCTGTGCTGTTCAATAAAAGGGAGAGCCAAGCCTTTGTTAGGTACACAGAGACATAATGACAGACAAGATACCATTTAAGCAAGCACAGATGCAGATTCATACAACAGATGACATCATGGAAAACACAGGGAGAGAAAAAAAGGAAATGAAAATCTTGGCTCTCGCTTGGTTAAAATTACTACTCCAAGTGTAAATGCTTTTATTTCTTTTCTTAATGCAACCTTGATGCATTTGGGATATTCTGAGGTTACTACTAATGCATTCAAACCAATTCACATATTTTTATTAATCAAAATAGAAAAAGGAAATAATGACATTTGTAGGAAAATAGATGCAATTGGTATTCATCAAGGAAAATAAAGCAGTCTTAGAAAGGCAAGACATGTAGAAAAATGAAACTAGAGCCATACCTCTTACAGCACACCCCAGTTTAAAGTGGATCAAAGAGCTCAATGTGAGATCTGAAACTTGGGGACAGATGGATGAAATATAGGTAAAACACTTGAGAATATAGGCATAGGCAAGATTGTCTGAACAGAATCCTAATTCAGCATAAGAAATAATCCCTGAATTGGCAAATGGGATTATATGAAATTAAGAAACTCATGCACAGCAGAGCAAGCAATCACCAGGGCAAAAGGGCTCACATGACACCAGTAGCACAGACTCTGAGAGCAACAATGAATAAATGGGACCTCCTGAAACTGAGAAGCTTCTGTAAAGCAAAGAACAAGGTTAACAAGACAAAATGGCTCCCTACAGATTGGAAAAAGATCTCCACCAACCCCACATCTGACAGAGGGCTGATCTCCAAAATGTACAAAGAACTCAAGAAACTAGAAATCCAACTACCAAATAATCCAATTAAAAAGTGGGGTACTGATGCAGAAATATTAAACTACACAAAATATGGATGTCCTATGATGTTTTTGCTTTTGTTTTTGTTTTTTTTTTTTTTTGAGACAGGGTTTCTCTGTATTGTTTTAGAGGCTGTCCTGGATCTCCCTTTGTAGACCAGGCTGGCCTCGAACTCACAGAGATCCCCTGCCTCTGCCTTCTGAGTGCTGGGATTAAAGGTGTGCGCCACCAACGCCTGGCTGTTCTATGATATTTTATTGAAAGAGAAATCATTTACTTGAAAAGCCAAGAAAGCCAAAGGTCTGCACGCTGCTCTCTAGGTCGAAACTGAAACCCAAAGAGCAAGAGTATTCTCCCCCTAGCTCCATTTACCCCCATATATTCTACGTACCCGTGAACACACCCACATGGGGGTGGTTAGTGCTAAGGATATGTAAAATCTCTCCCTACAGGGTACAGATCGTAACAGAGAGTTCTCAACAGAACAATCTCAAATGGCAGAAAGACACTTAGGGAAATGCTCAACATCCTTAGCAATCAAGGAAATGCAAAATAAAACCACTCTGAAATTCCATCTTATACCTGTCAGAATGGTTAAAATCAAAATCTCCAATGTCAGTTTATGCTGGAGAGGAACACTCCTCCATTGCTGGTGGGAGTACAAATTTGTACAGCAGCTGTGGAAATCAGTATGGCAGATTTCTCAGAAAATTAGGGATCAATCTACTTCAAGGCCCTGCAATACCACTGTTGGGCATATACCCAAAGGAGGCACATTCACACCACAAGAACATTTGCTCAACTATGTTCATGGTAACATTGTTTGTAATAGCCAGATCTTGGAAATAGCCTACATGCCCCTCAACTGAAGAATGGATAAAGAAAATGTGGTATATTTACACAATGGAGTACTCGTTAGCAGTAAGAAACAATGACATCCTAAAATTCGCAGGCAAATGGACAGAACTACAAAAAGACCATCCTAAGTGAGGTAACCCAAAACCAGAAAGACAAATATAGTATGTACTCACTCACAAGTGGATACCAGACATAAAGGAAAAGATACCCAGCCTATAACCCCAGAGAAGCTTGGACCCTCTTCCAGAAACAGATGTAAGCAGATATAGAAATCAACAACTAATCAATGGGTCAAGCTCCTGGAGTACAATTGAAGTGAGGGAGGAGCGATAATATGAACAAAAGAGTGAAGACCACAATGGGGAAACCCACAGAGTCAGCTGACCCGAGCTAGTGAGAGATCACTGAGTCTGGTCTGACAAGTGGGAACCTGCATAAGACTGAACTAGACTCCCTGAATATAGGTGTGACTGGGACAATATATGAGGCCACTGGCAGTGGGTCCAAGATCTAACACTAATGCACAAACTGACTTAGTGGAGCCCATTCTATATGGAGAGACACCTTGTCCAGCCCAGACACAGGGGTGTGGGAGTGGAGAGGTGCCTTGGTCCTGCCTCAAGGAGACAATGGGCCAGATTTAGTAGATTTCCTAGGGGAGGCCTTACCCTCTCTGAGGAGCAGATGGGAGGAGGGAGGAGTGGGAGGAGAGGAAGGAGGTGGAACTGGGATTGGAATGTAAAAAATAAATTAATAAAAAAAGACTAAAAAAAAGGGCTCAAATGGGAAAAAATTGCCAATTGTGCACCAGACAAGTATGGATATACACTATACATGAAGAACTGCCAAAATTATCAAATAAGACAAAATCAAAAGAAAAAAATAAATCATCCAGTGGAAAAGGGGAGGGGCATCACTCGAACAGACAATTTCCAAAAAGAAATACAAATGACAAATACTTAAGTGTTCAACATCCTCAGTCATCAAAGAAATGCAAATTGAAAGTGCTTTGATATTTGACCTCATCTGAGGCAAAATGGCTATCTTCAAGAAATCTGACAAAATTAAGAGAGGATGTAAAGAAAAAGCTGGCCTTATTTACTACTGGTTACTACAAATTAACATAGCCATTATGGAAATCACTTTGTAGGTTCCTCAAAAGATTAAAAATTGAACTGTCATATAACTCAGTTATTTCGATCCTGGATGTATCTCCAGGGAAGTCTCTACCCTATCATAGAGACATCTATATCCCTATGTTCACTACTGTTTCATTATTATAGCAAGAAAATGGAACCAATCTAGTTGTCCACCAACAGATGACTGAATAATGAAAATATGGTACATAAATTTAATGCTATTCAGCTCTAAAGAAAAAAATGAAACCACAAAATTTCCTGGAAATGGATGAACTTAGAATGCATATTAATTGAAGTCACTCAGTCTCAGAAAGGAACTGTTTTCCCTAATATGTGGATCCTAGTTCACAATGTATACATGTATGTATGTAAGCAAATGTATATATGTACAACATGCAGAAATAAGAACAAAAAAGGATAATATTAGGTGACAAGAAAGGACAGAATACATGAATCATAAAAGATATAAAGTGAATTACTTTTCTAGATTTAGCTGTTAAGAAATTTTCTTGTGTGTCTAAGTAATGGATAAATGTATAAAAACTAATGTAATTTATAATGAAAGTGTAAAATCCAAAGCTAAAAGCCACCACTTCAGGAAGACTTGGGTCTGGGAAACTGCTTGCTTAAGTGGCTATGTTTTTTTACTTTTTTAAAGAACATGAAGTTAGGTAGGTAGAGAGGGAACTATCTCAGAGGAATAGAAAGAATAGGAAAGTAAAGAACAAAAAATGTCCAAGCAATTACAAAAACATTTGAAAAGATATATGCCATATAGAATAGTAACTTCCAAATTACTTGAAGGATATTAACTCTGGGCAAAGAATGACAAAATCATTCTACTAATTCCCAGCAATAGAGAATTAAAATGTGCTATCTGCATCTTTGAGTAAAGTGGACTATTTTAACTTGTGATAGAATCATATGTCATTCAATATACAGCAGAGACAATACATTAAGAAACACCTTTATTAAAACAACTAAATTTCACAATCTATGTTTCAAAATCTAACATGGTTTCTGAAAAAAAAATAACTTTCAAGAACCAGTTTTGTTCTTTTGATATAATCATTTGAGAGCTGTGTTTCATTCAGTTTAAAAAGTGAGATTATATAGTAAATTTGGTTTTACAACAAATTGATATCCTTACAAAGGTAAGTTATCTGCAGATTATGATGTCTGTGATATTTCTTTCATTATATCAAATAATGATGCCCTGTAAATTAAATTATGAGCAATCCTTCAAGGTTTTATTTTTCTTTTTCAGACAGTCTTTCTCTTTGTAGCTTGCTTTGTAGACCTCTGCCTCCCAAGTGCCAGGATTAAAGGCATGTACCATCATGTCTGTCTTCCTTCATGTTTTTGTGACATTCCATAAATTCATTGGCCTTATCTATTATAATAATTTCCTTATATTCGGTAAGATCTGAGTTGTCAGCAAAGGCTTGGCTATATTCTTATTATTTATGTTTTGTAGTATAAATACTTTGCTTTTCTGAAGTGTGAATATTATACTATACTCCTTCCAGTCATCACATGTATGAAGTTTCTACCTAATATGAATTCATTGATGGTTAATGGAAATCACATTTCAGCTGAAGGTTGTAAAACATTATATGTGCAAGCTTTCTCATCAAGACAAAAATCTCTGATGTTGTTTATGGCATGAAGAATTAAGGATTCGCCACATTATTCTAACTTGTAGGGTTTCTATTATATATAAGTTTTTGTTGCTATATAAGTGGGAAACAATTGTTAAATACTTTTCCACCCTGTTTGCATTTATAGGGTTCCTCTCCAGTTTGTATGGATTCTTTGGTATTAAGGGCTTTACAATTACTAAAAGCTTTGCCATAATCTTCATATTTGTAGAGTTTTTCTCTAGTATGAATTCTTTGGTGTTGTTTAAGATTTGAAGAACAGTTAAAACCCTGGCAACATTCTTTGCATTTGTAGGGTTTCTCCCCAGTATGAATTCTTTGGTGTTGACTAAGAGCTGAACAATTATTAAAGGCTTTGCCACATTTCTCACACTTATATGGTTTCTCTCCAGTATGAATTCTTTGGTGTTGAATAAGGGCTGAAAAATTATTAAAGGCTTTACTACATTCTTCACATTTGTAGGGTTTCTCTCCAGTATGAATTCTTTGATGATAATTAAGGTGTGAAGATGAGTTAAAGGCTTTGCCACAGTCTTTGCACTTGTAGGGTTTCTCTCCTGTGTGAATTCTTTGGTGATGAGTAAGGCTTGAACTATTATTAAAGGCTTTGCCACACTCTTCACATTTGTAGGGTTTCTCTCCAGTATGAATTCTTTGGTGTTGAATTAGGGCTGAACAATTATTAAAGGCTTTGTCACATTCTTTACATTTATAGGGTTTTTCTCCAGTATGAATTCTCTGGTGTCGAGTAAGATAAGAGACCATGGTAAAAGCTTTGCCACACTCTTGACATTTGTAGGGTTTATCTCCAGTATGAAGTATCTGATGATAATTAAGGTATGAAGAACAGTTAAAGGCCTTGCCACACTCCTTGCATTTGTAAAGTTTCTCACCTGTATGAATTCTCTGATGCCTATACAGGTGCGAAGAGCAGTTAAAGGCCAAGCCACATTCCTCACATTTGTAGGGTTTCTCTCCAGTGTGAATTCTCTGATGTTGGGTAAGGCTGGAAGACCAGTTAAAAGCTTTGCCACATTCTGTGCATTTATAGGGTCTCTCACCAGTATGAATCCGTTGATGCTTATACAGGTGTGAAGAACAGTTAAATGCCTGACCACATTGTCCACATTTGTAGGGTTTCTCTCCAGTATGAATTCTTTGATGTGGGGTGAGGCTTGAAGAACAGCTAAAAGTTTTGCCACATTGTTCACATCTGTAGGGTTTCTCTCCAGTATGAATTCTCTGGTGTTGAATAAGGAGTGAGTTCCGACCAAAGGCCTTGTCACATTCTTTACATTTATAAGGTTTTGATCCTGTTGAATAAATAATGAGGTATCAGTAAAAATGATAATCTATATTTATAATACTTATGGTTAACATTGTATATTTTTATTCAGTTACATTTTTATATGAAATTTACCCTCACAATGAACCATAAAATACAGTGTAAAAATATAATTCTACACCCCAAATCACTACAGCCTTACTCAGAAAATACCACAGGTGGAAAAAATTCTAAAATTCCATTGTACTGAAAGATGAAGACAACATGTAATACACAAAGGAATACTATTCAACCTTTAAAATGTAATCACATACTATCTACCATAAGGATAAGTCTTAAAGGTGCTATGATATTTGAAATAAAATCTATTACACAAAGACATATGACCTGAGTTAATTGAAGATTTTATAGTAATAAAACTTGTTAGACTGAAAGTAGAAAGCTGAATGGAATAGATTTATGGAGACAAAGGTACACAGTTTCCTTCATAAATATAGAGCTGTTTTCAAAAGTGAAAACATTTTCTAAAAAATACTGCATAACAATTTGAATAAACAACTCCATTGACTAGCATATTAAAAATATTCAAGATACTTTTATACAATTGAAATAAATTTAAATTATAAATTAATATATTTAAATTTATTTGTAAACCACTGAAGTTTCAGTAAAGGCAATGTGTCTTCATAAACAGATGATAAAATTAGCATTATTTCTATAAATTCTCATTTGGCAGGATAAAGCAACTATTGTGTATGATATGAAAACATGGAAATGGGTAAATAAAAATTAAATTATATTGGAAATATAGATATAGTTAACACATATTTTATTGTCTTATAGTGTCTTAACTGCAATCCAATCAGAATATGTCTAAACATATTATCAACTTATTTGTGAAAAACTAGACCAGAAAAAAAACACAGATAATGGGATTACAAATAAGACAAGGAGAATCTTGAACCCATGAAATCCTGAAAGAATACTTAAAAATTACTAAAAAAATTACTTCAATTATGTATCCTTTTTGGCTGGGACTATAGAAACATAAGCATTTTAGATACCATCTGACACCTGTCAGAATGGCTAAAATCAAAAACACCAATGACTGCTTATGTTGGAGAGGATGTGGAGAAAGGGGAACTCTCCTCCACTTTGGAAATCAGTATGGTGGTTTCTCAGGAAAATGGGAATCAGTCTATCACAAGATCCAGCAATTCCACTATTAGGCATATACCCAAAGGATGCACAGTCATACCACAAGGACATCTGTTCAACTATATCGATAGCAGCATTATTTGTGATAGCCAGAACCTGGAAACAACCTAGATGCCCCTCAACTGAAGAATGTGTAAAGAAAATGTGGTACATTTACACAATAGAGTACTACTCAGAGGAAAAAAAAAACAATGAAATCTTGACAGATGGCACTGGAAGAAACCATCCTGAGTGAGGTAACCCAGACACAGAAAGAAAAATATGGTATGTACTCACTCATAAGTAACTATTAGACATAGAGTAAAGGATTACCAGGCTACAATCTACAACCCCAGAGAAGTTAGGAAACAAGGAGGACCCTAAGAGAGACATGGACCTCCAAAAAAGCAGAAAGGGACAAAATCTCCTGAGTAAAATGGGAACATGGGGGGGGAGGGGAGGGAAGTAAGAGAAAGAGGAGTGGGGGAAGAGAACATGAGGGATCAGGAAGGTCAAGTTGGGGGAAGAACAGAGGAGAGTGGGGAAAGAGATATCTTAATAGAGGGAGCCATTATGGACTTTAACAGGAAATCTGCCACTAGGGAGGTCTCCTGGGATCCACAAGGATGATCCCAGCTAAGAATCTAAGCAATGGTGGAGAGGCTACCTTAAATGCCCTTCCCCTGTAAAGAGACTGATAACTACCTAAAATGCCATTATAGAGTCTTCATCCAATATCTGATGGAAGCTGAAGCAGAGATTCACAGCTAACCACTGAGCTGAACTCCTGGACTCCAGTTGCAGAAAGGGAGGAGTGATGAGCAAAGAGGTGAAGACCAGGCTGGAGAAACCCACAGAAACAACTGACCTGAGCAACTGCGAGCTCACGGACCCCAGTCTGACAGCTGGAGAACCAGCAGAAGACCGAATCAGGCCCCCTGAATGTGGGTATCAGTTAGGGGACCTGGGCAGTTTATGGGGCCTCTGGCAGTGGAACCAGTATTTATCCCTAGTGCACAAATGGGCTTTGCAAGCCCATTCCCTATGGAGGGATATTCTCTCAGCCTAGATACACAAGGGACGGCCTAGGTCCTGCCCCAAATGATGTGACAGACTTTGATGATCCTTATAGGAGGCTTTACCTTCCCTGAGGAGTGGATGGGGGGGTGGGATGGGTGGTTGGGGGGGGAATGGGAGGATAGAGAGAAATGGGATTAGTATGTAAAATAAGATTGTTTTTAATTTAAATGAAAATAATAAAAAAGAGTTTGAAAAAAATCATAAAAGTACATCCACAGAGAGCTCTGAGGAGACAATTTTAATCAATGAGCATATAGACAAATTAGAGAAACTCATTTGTGGCTATTATAAAGATTTAACACAGCAATGAAACATCTATCAGGATGTAGATCTTCATAGGCAAAAGAGATTATTTTGGTAGACTATGAATGCACGTAGAGATCACTGGAGGGGAAGAACATGACTCAGAGGATTTAAAAGTATGACAGACATTCACAAGAAATACCCTTGTTTGATAGTAAGAGAAATAAAGGAGACTCCTAAAAATTGTTTCCACCAAATAGCTTCTCGATCCACATTTTAAAAGCCTGGCATTCTGGTGGAGTTTTGGACCCCTCACCCGTGTCTTTTCATTCCTACATACCTGGGTATATGGCTACTGTTGCTTGTTGTTTCATATTCCAAGGCTGTTTTCTTTGTTCCAGAAATGTAATCAGATATGGCTTAGAGAAAGCAAGGCCTGTTTGTAGAAAAATGATGCTTTATGTTGGTCTCTGAGAAATCAGAATTTCTATCCTAGTATTTGCCTCTAAGAGATATAATAAAAGCTTGTAGGAAAAAAAAAACTATTTTCTCTAAGTCTTCCCTGATAAGTATATTAGAATATGAAAGAAGATTTTACAATTTGTATATCTTGAGCTTTACTTACAAATACAGAAAAGGGTGGTGTATTGTTTTGCTTTAAATGTGTATGGTATGTCTCATGCAACTGAATTTCTAAAATTACCACTAGAGTGAAGGATTCATAATTTAAAACAAAAGAGGTTAAAACAGGATAGAATAAGGCTTATCTAGTCTATTATTAACTAACCCCTATTTTTCCCTTAAAAGCAGAAATGTGAAATTTATTGACATAAAGCATAAGCTCCCATGAGATATTCTACAAAGGAAGGCAATTAAATGTTGAGAGTGAGTTAAGAATTGAGCAGGAAATGTTGACAGTGAGTTAAGAATTGATGCTCACCTAGAGAGACAAGGTTGCTGTAATTCTCTAGCATCACATCGCTATACAAATCCCACTGGGCAGGATCCAGGCATTCAGACTCCTCTGGAGAGAAATCAACGGCCACATCTCTGAATGACAACTGTCTCTGATATAGAAATAAATTAGTTGCATAAAGTAAGTAATTATCAATCAAATAGTTATCATATATTTCCTGACAGTTCTAATTTTACCAAAGATGAAAGGAGAGGTAGAAGTGGTTCTGATTTAAGTAATATATAATGTAAACTGAAGGATTCTACACTATACACAGTGTGGGCTAAATTTGTATTATACTATATAAATTGTTTATCTTTCCCATAGAGTATCATTAAGGATAAGTTAGAATACTATCAATCTTTTCAAATTTAATACAATTATGAATAGGAAATGTAATTAAAATGAATATTCAGATGCAATACCTCTGGGCTAAGTTCTGGGTTTCTGAGTATGTACAGATCTCAGTAGTGATGTCAATGACTGATCTGAATAGCCATTAAGTAGAACAATAAAGGAAGAATTCATAGATGCAATTGAATTTCAAGAATTTAAGTAAGTTACACATAAAAAATAGAAAGTACAGCAACAATACCTTTTGAATATTAAAATAAACTACATGTCGAGCCAGCTGCACTAGCCAGTCAGCAGAAAAGGCATCTGCAGGCAGGCTGCACCAACCCCCATATCAGACCCTGTAATCTACAAGTTCCACTCTGCCCCCAATCCCACCCATCACCTGTGACCTCAGTGTCTCCCTGAGACACAGACATCAACTGTTCAGAGAGGATCAAGAGAGAGGACCAAGAGACAGTGACTACATTGATTGGTCTAAGAGATGATCCCTGAGACAGACACCAACCACAACAATTGGACTAAGAGGCAAAGACATTGCCTGCACTGATTGGAGGAAGAGATAGGTAGTAACCAATGCAAGAATACATTCAACAACCTAACCTAAAGAGCAATATGGCACCACCAGAAACTAGCAGTCCTACAGGGAGACCTGAACATTCCAACACAGAAGAAGCAGAAGAAAATGACCTTTTAAAGATAACTTTATGACGTTGATAGAGACTCTTAAAAAGGAAATGAAAAATTCCCTTAAAGAAATTGAGGAAAAGACAAAAAATTCAAAGAAATCAATAAATCTCTTGCCTCTCTCTCCCCCCCTTTCTCCCTCCCTCTCTCCTCTCCTCTCCTCTCCTCTCTCTCTCTCTCTCTCTCTCTCTCTCTCTCTCTCTCTCTCTCTCTCTCTTGTTTTTGTTTTTTTGGTTTTTACGAGACAGGGGTTCTCTGTATTGTTTTGGAGGCTGTTGGTCCAGCCCGGCCTCAAACTCACAGAGATCCGCCTGCCTCTGCCTCCCGAGTGCTGGGATTAAAGGCGTGCGCCACCACCAATGCCCAGCCATCAATAAATATCTTAAAGAAAGCCAAGAAAAAGTGATCAAACAGGTGAAAGAAACAGTTAAAGGTGAAAATTGAAATAGAGGCAATAAAGAATACACAAACTAGGGGAATTCTGGAAATGGAAAACCTGGGTAAATGAACAGGAACTACAGATGCAAGCATAGCCAACAGAATGCAAGAGATGGAAGAGAGAATCTCAGGCATTGAAGATACAATATAGGAAATAGATTCATAGGCCAAAGAAAACATGAAAGTCAACAAAGTTACAACACAAAACGTCCAGGGAATCTAGGGCACCATAAAAAGACCAAACTTAAGAATAATAGGGATAGAAGGAGAAGAATACCAGCTCAAAGGCACAGAAAATATATCAGCAAAATCAAAGAAAAAACTTCCCCAATCTAAAGAAAGAAATGCCTACGAAGATACATGAAACTTACAGAACACCAAATAGACTAGACCCGCCCCCACAAAGTCTCCTTGCCACATAATAATTAAAACACAAAATATAAGAATAAATAAAGAATATTAAGAGTTGCAAAGGAAAAAGGCCAAGTAATATATAAAGGCAGGCCAATCAAAATAACACCAAACTCCTCAATGTAGACTCTGAAAGCCCAGAAAGTCCTGCACAGATGTTATGAAGACACTAAGGAACCATGGATACCAACCCAGACTACTATCCCTAGCAAAACTTTCAATCACCATAGATATTCCATGACAAAACAAGATATGAACACAATACCTATCCATAAATCCAGCCCTACCAAAAGCATTAGAAGGAAAACTCTAACCCAAGGATGTCAGTTGCACCCACGAAAGCACAGGTAGTAGATAATCCCACATCAGCAAATCCTAAAGAAGGGAAACACACCCACCACCACCCCCAAAAAAAGAATAACAGGAATCAACAATCACTTGTTATTAATATCCCTTAATATCCATGGACTCAACTCACCTATAAAAAGATACAGGCTTGTCAAGCAGTGGTGGTGCATGCCTTTAATCCAAGAACTTTGAAGGAAGAGGTAGGCGATCTCTGTGACTTTGAAGCCAGCCTGGGCTACAAACCAAGTGCCAGGACAGGCTCTAAAGCTACACAGAGAAACCTTATCTTGAAAAACCAAAAGAGAAAAAAGAAACAAACAAAAAAAGACAGACTAACAGAATGCATGAGAAAACAGAAACCCACCTCAACTTCAAAGACAGACATTACTTAGAGTAAGGTTGGGAAAAGACTTTCCAATCAACTGGCCCTAAGCAGTAAGCTGGTGTAGCTATCATAATATTTAACAAAATAGACTTCAAACTAACGATAGTCAAAAAAGATGAAGGACATTTCATATTCATCACAGGAAAAATCCATCAAGACTAAGTCTTAATCCTGAAACTATATGCCCCAAATACAAAGGCAGCCACATCTGTAAAAGAAACATTACTAGCTGGGCGGTGGTGGCGCATGCCTTTAATCCCAGCACTCGGGAGGCAGAGGCAGGTGGATCTCTGTGAGTTCGAGGCTGAGCTAGACCGACAGCCTCCAAAACAATACAGAGAAACCCTGTCTCGTAAAATCCAAAAAAAAAAAAAGAAAAGAAAAAAAGAAACATTACTAAAGCTTAAATTGCACATCAAACCCACATACTAATGGTGGGAGATTTTAACACTCCACTCTCACCAATGGATAGGTCTGCCAGACTTATTAAGAGAGAAAAAAGGGATCTAACAGATGTTGTAAGTCAAATGGGGTTAACAGACATCTATAGAACATTCATCCCAGCACACAGGAGGCAGAGGCAGGCGGATCTCTGTGAGTTCAAGGCCAGCCTGGTCTACAGAGAGAATTCCAGGACAACCTCCAAACCAATACAGAGAAACCCTGTCTCAAAAAAACAAAAAAACAAAAACAAAAAAAACCAGAAACAAACAAACAAAAAAAGAACATTCACCCAAATACAGAAAAATATACCTTCTTCTCAGCACTTCATGTTACCTTCTCTAAAATTGTCCACATACTTGGCCACAAAGCAAATCTCAATAGATACAAAAAAAATTGGAATAAACCCCTTTATCTTAGCAGATCACCATGGCTCAAAGTTAGAATTCAACAACACAAACTCTAGAGGAAAAAAGACATGTCATTTATCTCCTCAAACATTTATCATTATTTTTATGATCAAAAGCCTAAAACCCTATCTTCTAGCTTTCTGAAATGTATAGTGTATAACTTGTACCTGTGGTCACTATTCTGTATAATAGTATTCTTGTCTTGCTTCTCCCTAAATGTATAATACCACTAGCTCATTCCCTGATGTCATTATACCTCCAATTTCTGAGATCAAATTTTGATTGAGACCAAATAACATATTTTTCTCTGCCTGAATTATTTTCAGATTTTCCATCTTGTTATAAATGATAGAATTTCATTCTGTTTCACATCTGAATAATATTTCATTATAATGTATACCACAATTTCTTGGTTATTTTTTATTTTCTGACATACTTTTGTTACAAATCTAGACAATTATAGAAATAACATTTCAACTAAGTTTATGTAACCGCAAAAGTATAGAAAAAAGAATATTTTTAAAAAGAGCCAAAAATCAAGTGTTTGTGCTAAAATAATGTTTAAAATAGTTTCATAGCCAAAAAAAAAACTTTAGAGAAAACCTATTACAAAGTCAGCCAAACAAAATTGATCAAATAATATTTATATCTCATATATAATATGTAAAAATAGAGCTAAATATTAGGAAAAAGAAATTTTTCATTTCTTTGGAAATGAGGAATATGATAGTAAGGGCTGGTGAGTTTAGTCAGTAGATAAAGGACAGCTCGAGTTTCATCCCTGAGACCCACATGATGGAAGGAGAGAAAAAGTCTCTGGCATTATCCGTGGACCTCCAAATGTACTGCATTATCTCTCTCTCCCCTCTCTCATACACACGATAAACAAACAAACAAATAAATGTTAATAAAAAAGAAATATGAAAGGAGATAGAATGATAGGGGTACAAGGAAGAGGAGGAGAAAGGAGAATCAATAAATCAAATAATCCAATTATAAATGGGGTAGAGATTTAACAGAGAATTCTCAACAGAAGAATCCCAAATGGCCCAGAAACACTTAAGGAGATGTTCAACATCCTTAGCCATTAGGGAAATGAAAATCAAAACAACTATCTGATATTCCATCTTAAACTGGCTAACATCAAAAACACAAGTGACAGCTCATGCTGGAGAGGATGTGGAGAAAGGGGAACACTCCTCCATTGCTGCTGGGAGTGCAAACTTGTGTAGCCAGCCACTTTGGAAATCAGTGTGGTGGTTTCTCAGAAAATTGGGAATCAATCTACCACAAGACTCAGCTCCACCACTCTTAGGCATATACCCAAAGGATACACAATCACTCAAAAAGGACACTTGCTCAACTGTGTTCATAGCAGCTTTATTTGCAATAGCCAGAACCTGGAAACAACCTAGATGACCCTCAACTAAGGAAGGGATAAGAAAATGTAGTACATTTACACAAGGGAGTATTACTAGGCTTTTAAAACAATGACATCAGGAAATTTGAAGGAAAGTGGATGGAACTAGAAAAAAATCATCCCAAGTGAGGTAAAAAGACTGCTGGAAAAGGGGTACATTTCAGGGTCAGGTAAAAACCTGGTCGAGGGAATCTCCCACAAATCTACAAGGATGACCCCAGCTAGGACTCCTAGCAATAGCAGCTATGTAGCCTGAACTGGTCATCTCTTGTAACCAGATTGGTGCCTAGCTCAATGGTCATCAGAGAGGCTTCGTCTAGCAACTGGTGGAAATAGATGCTGACCCATAGCCCAACATTAGGCAGAATGTGGGGAATTCTGCAGTGGAAGGAAAGAGGATTGTAGGAGCCATAGGGATCAAGGACACCACAAAAAATCTCACAGAATCAACTAACTTGGCCTCACGGGAGCTCACGGAGATCAAACTGACAACCTGGGAGTCTGCATGGGACTGAACTAGGCACTCTGCATATATGTTACAGTTGTGTAACTTGGTCCTTGTGTGGGACTTGAAACAGTGGGAACAGTGGCTGTCTCTGACTCTTTTACTTGCTTTTAGGACCCTACTCCTCTGAAACAGGCCACCTTGCCCAGCCTTAACACATGGGGAAGTACTTAGTCTTCTGCAACTTGATATGCCATATTTTGTTGATATTTATGAACAGCTGCCTTTTCCTGAACAGAAAGGGAGGGGGAGTGTATTGAGGGGTGGGGACAGAGGGCCACAGGGAGACTGGAAGGAGAGGAGGGAGGGAAAGCTGTGGCCAGGATGTAAAATAAATAAATTTATTTAAAGAAGAAAATGCCAAAATGACACCCAATACTGTGTATGCTAATTAAAAAAGAATTGACTAATGTGAAAACATAAATGACACTAGACATATTTAAGAAAAGCAACCATAAATACTAAGTCATACATTCTTGATTATTTCATGTCATTTATTATTTATTTTGAGTTACATCTTACAATTTTTCTATTGTCAACTTGCTGATAACAATTTTTGCTTTAAACCTGGCATTGGTGGTGCACATCTTTAATTCCAGTACTCAAGAGGCAGAGGCAGGTGGATCTCTAAGTTCGAAACCAACCCGGTCTACAGAGTGAGTTCCAGGACAGGCTCCAAAGCTATACAGAGAAACTCTTGTCTTGAAAACCCAAAAAGAAAAGAAAAAAGAATTTTTGCTTTAATATTATGAATCACATTAGTATTTCACAGTACATTTATGAAGCCAAATATCACTGTTGTTTATAAAACTCAAAGCTGATACCCATTACATATTTTGTAAAACAATACATTTTTGGTTTTGATTTTTTTGTTTTGTTTTTTGAGACAGGGTTTCTCTATATTGTTTAGGAGGCTGTCCTGGAACTCGTTTTGTAGACCAGGCTGGCCTCGAACTCACAGAGATCCACCTGCTTCTGCCTCCCGAGTGCTGGGATTAAAGGCATGTGCCACCACCGCCCTGCTTTGATATTTTTTATAGTAAACTTTTAAATCACAAGCCTCAAGTATCTGAAAGGTGTTCCAAGGATAAATGTAACAGAATTGATAAAATCTAAACTAACTGTGAGGCTTCATGAGAGAAAGAGAAAGAATGGGAGAAGATTCTGCATACAGGAAAGATATTTTACAGAGATAACCTTGCCTGTCATAGGAATGGGAAATTCAGTCAGGAAGAACTGCAGAATAGAAAAATGATCAAAATTTTAGAGCAAATTGATAAAAGTACAGATCAGCATGTTTTAAATACAATGTATTTTGGGAGGAAAATTAAGACTATACCATGTCTTAGGCCATATTTACCTTAGAACTAGTCATTTCTTCTTCTTCTTCCTTCTGTGTTTCTTTCTGTTTTAACTCAAAAGACACCAGATCACGTAGACTTTCACGAACCTCTTTTTGTAGGTGCAAGACTGATGCTAGCTTTCATTCAGTTGAGGTATTTCTGCATCTCATTTTTACTAACAGTTTTAAATGAGACAGTATTCAGTTTAAATCCAGAAAAACACTCAAGATCAGCGTTTCTATCTATCTAAAGAAGGGAAAAATTATGAGGCATTGATATTTCATACCTAAAAAGGAACAAAAAGAAAATGTTATCTATAACTTTCAGAAAATATATGAATTTTATTTTTCAATGATAATAAATCAGTAAACCATATATGAATTGCCAATTCCCTCCCAAATGACTTACTATTAAACTTCAATGTCCAGGTAACAAGACAGAGGATCACCCATCAGAAGCTTTCAAAAGAGGATTCATTGTATTTTTGAATTATTGTAATAGAATTCAATTGTTACCTACTATATTTTCTTCAATTCTGCCCCTCCCCCCATTTTGCAGATAGAGATTCTCCCTATTTATTTTCTCTGGTGGCATTATCAGTAAAGCCACGAAATTCCATTCAAAGTCGCCTGCCAAGAAAAATAACCTGAGAGAGACATTCACTAATTGCTAAAGGAATGTAAAGTCAATGTTCTAGTTTGCTTTCTGCTGTTGTGATAAAAACCATGACTGATATCAACTTTGGCGGAGGAGAGTTTATATGGCTTATAGTTTACATTCCGTCACTGAGGGAAGTCGCAGCAGGAAATTGGGGGCAACAACCAAAGCAGAGATCACAGAGGAATGTTACACAAATATTGTGGGAGCAACCATCTACTCTGGTTGGATTTAAGGCCCACACCATGAAATGGAACCCAAACCTGACTCTGCTCTAGAGAAGAATCTAAGACTGGTTAGGACACGGGAAACCAAATATTGTCCTGTTAAAGGAACACAGCAATAAAATGACTCCTAATGGCATTGTCTAGCTCAACAATCATCAAAGAAGCTTCCTCTTCCAGTAAATAGGAACTAACACAAAGGCCCAAAACTGGACAAGGTGTAGAGTGTGAGAGACTTTGGAACACTCAGTCCTAAATGGGATGTCTTCACCAAACCCCGCTACTCTGGGCTCAAGGAACTGTATATGAAGAGGCTGAAAGACTATGAGAGCTAAAGGGAATGAATTACTCCAAGGAAACATTGTCTTCAGACACAACAGGACTGAGGCACATGTGAACTCAAAGGAACTGTACAGGGCCTGCACAAATTCAAGCCAGATAGTGTTCCAGTGTGGAGAAGGGTAGTGGACATGGGCTCCCACCCCAGCCAAGGAGATATCTCCAATTGGCATCGGCTTACAAAGGAAAATGGGCTTTCTTCAATGGACTCTCACTGTGTATATTAACTATACTTAAGGGGATGGCTAATACAAAACAAACTCAATGGTATTCTTGTAGACTTTTTCTCATATTGTTTTATTGGGGCATTATTTTGTCTTACTGGTCTTTTGCTTATCTATTATGGTTTCTGATTTTGTGTCTTTGTGGGATATGTATGTGTTCATTGTTCTTTTATTTTTGTCTATTTTTTCTAAAGAAAAGAGAAGAAATGGGGTGGACTTGGATGGGTGGGAGTATCTGGAATTGGTTGGAGAGGGGAAATTATGATCATAATATAATATATGAAATATTTTCCAATAAAAATAACTAAACATAAGTAAATAAAAGAAAAATTAAAGTATAATACACAAAAAAGTGCTTGTTGTTTAAATCCAGAGTTCTAAGCACGGGACCCACAGTGAAAGGAAAGAAACAACTTCCAAAAGTTGTCCTCTGACTTCCAACATGCAAGCCATGGCAAGTGCATGGCTGCACTCATACACAGACATCTTGTATGTACATGCATGCTCAAAAAACACTAACAATAATATGTAAGTTTTAATTTTAAAAAGGGCATCCAAGCGATAAAGAAATGGATAGAGATGCAAAATTAGAGGGCTGTTTCAGTCAGGAAGAACTGCAGAATAGAAAAATGATTGAAATTTTAGAGTAAATTGATAAGGAATACAAATGTGTACAATTCAGTTAAAAACAGAAAAAAGTGGTGGGATACACACACACACACACACACACACACACACACACACACACACAAACATGTAATGGGGAAAGGATCAGAAATTCAAGGTTATCCTCCACTACATACATACCCAACTAAGTGAGGTGGTACTTTCATTCCAGCACTCGGGGAGAGAGTTAGAAAGTAAGTTGTGAAGTTAATGCCAGCCTGGTCTACATAGAGAGTTCCAGATCAGCCAGGGCTAGATAATAAGGCCTTGTCTCAAAAACAAAAAGAAACCCAAGAACATTATAATAGAATGTCCTAGCCTTGTATGGTGGTTGTCTTAGTTAGGGTTTCTATTGTGATGAAACGCCAAGACTAAAAGCAAATTAGGAGGAAATGTGATTTTTTTTTTTTGTACACTAACAAATAAAGCTTTCCCAAAGACCAGAGAGCAAAGCTAGTCACTAGTTAGCCATAGAGTCTGGAGATGTGTTCAGATAGCCAGGAAGTGATACGACTGGGCGCAGAGAGTAAGGGAAGGCTGGAGGAGACAGGAACTCGGCCTCTCTTTGGCTGGGAAGTTGTCCAGGTACGGTGTGGCTGTGGCTTGCTCCTTTGTCTCTCTGATCTTTCAACATTCACCCCTATATCTGACTCCTGGCTTTTATTATTAACACCAATTAGAACTCATGCTACAAGGAAAGGATTTATTTGGCTTACACTTATACATCATAGTTCATCACTGAAGGAAGTCAGGATAGAAACTCAAACAAGGTTGGAGCCGGGAGGCAAGAGCTGATGCAGAGGCCATGGAGGAGTGCTGTTTACTGACTTGCTCATTTTGGCGTATTCAGCCTGTTTTAGTTACCCCGTACAAAGAACTCAGGACAACCACACAGAGATGACACCACCCACAATGCGCTTGGCCCTCCCTCATCAATCACTAATTAAGAAAATGTCCTATGCCCAGATCTTATGGGGCATTTTCTCAATCCAGATTCCTTCCTTTCAGATAACCCTAGCTTGTGTTAATTTTTGTGTGACAAGTTTATGTGACATAAAACTAGTGATCACAGTGTCTCGTGGCAAAAACTAATTAAGATAAGTATATAAAATGATAAATATATCATTAAATATGGCAGGAAATTCAAGCAAAGACTAGAAAGTAATCATTGGGTTTGAATATATTTTAGGCTATTGATAAGTCTTTAAAAAATAAACTAAATTAAATCACAAAGGAGAAGAATATATGATATTCTAGAACATATATATCCTAGTACTGTGCTGTGGGTTCTGCATGGAGAGATGAACTGAGAAAAATATGTGGAGATTATGTACTCGATGTTGACTCAGTTATCCAGATATTCTAAGTTTTCTTTAGTAAGTACTGCTGTACTTACTAGAGCTCAATCCACAATTTTTTAACAATCCTAGGAAATATAGTAGATAAGTTATGCTCTAGTAATAGGACAGGATTCTCACTATAAAACACTAAAGGTGTTTAATACCAAGTGAGTAATGATAAACATTCTACTATGTTGTATGTATAAACCAAGAAAATGTTATTTCAGACATTAGTGCTAGTGAGTCTTCATGTTCTATGAAAAGTTTGTAAGTGAACTCTCCTTTGGTTCATTTGCATCATGAAAAATTGTGCCTGCCATGACATCAAAAAGCCTAAGATAAATTTACAATCAATTTGAATAACTAGTTGTTACAATCTGCTATTGTATAGAAATTTGGAGTATTCTAAAGGGATGTAAAAACTTCCATTCTGGAGGGAAACTCCTTAAAGTCATTGAATTTTTGGTTATGAGATACTTTTTTTTACACTTATTGTATAAAGAAACAACAAAAATTTTGCTTGTTTAAAAATAAAAAACTAGAGCTGGAGAGATGGCTCAGAGGTTAAAAGCACTGACTGCTCATCCAGAGGTCCTGAGTTCAATTCCCAGCAACCACATGGTGGCTCCCAGCCATCTGTCATGAGATCTGGTGCCCTTTTCTGACCTGCAGGCATACATGCAGACAGAACACTGTATACATAATAAATAAATAAAATCTTTAAAAGAAGAAAACCAGGGCTGGAGAGATGGCTCAGCCATGAAAGGCTAAGTTAACAACCAAAACTAAAACCTATTTTATTCAGCATGCTGTGCACATTCTACAGTGCACTCATTTGACAGTTCCTGTCCTAGTGCGGGCTGGATCACAACTAAACCAGACGCTCTAGAGCCCTAACTGAGACTGGTTAGTTTAAGATGGCTCTCCTCGTGTGTGTAGTGGCTTGTGCCTACTCTTGCCTAGGGCATGTGTGTGGTGATATATTGTTTAAGATTTAATAAAGTCACTGAAGATCAGAATGCAAAGCTAGCCACAGTTGGAAGCTGGGCAGTGGTGGCACACACCTTTAATCCCAGGACTCAGGAGACAGAAGCAGATGGATCTCTCTGAGTTCAAGGCCACTCAGGGCTACATGAGAATGCATCAGTCTAAAAAAGTAACATAGTTCACGCCTTTAATCCTAGCACTAGAGAGGTATATAAGAAGCATAGTGTCTCATTGGAGATTTAATTTCCAGTCACAGGGAAGACAGGATCTCAGTTTCAGCCTTGGCAGAGGTAAGAGCTACTGGCTTAGCTGCTTTGCTTCTCTGATCTTCCAGCTTGAACCCCAATAACTGTCTCTGGGTTTATATTATTTGTGTTACACATGTTTCCTGACCATGGGTTTCTACATAGTCTATCTATGCCCAAAGTTATAACCAACAATGGAAGAATATATTTAAATCATATATTTTAATGCTTTTTGACCAAATCTAGTCAAAAGACAAAGTACAGTTCATTGTTGAAACATGTTGTGCAAGCATTCAGACAGTTTGTTCTAAGTAGAGGTGAAACAATCTACCCTGCAGGGAAGGAAGTTCCTTAACAAAAGCTTTAGGACAATCGTTCTCAACCTGAGGGTCACAATCCCTCGAGGTAGGGGTTGGGGGGGAGAATCAAACAATCCTTTCATATGGATTGCCTAAGACCATTGGAAAACACAGGTATTTATGACTCATAACAGCAAACTTACAGTTATGAAGTAGCAACAAAAGTAATTTATGGTTGGGGTCACCACAACATGAGGAACTATATTAAAGGGTTGTAGTATTAGGAAGTTTGAGAACCACTGCTTTAGGAATTCCTTCAAAGTGATCAGATACACTAGGCCCCTCTGTCTCAAGCATATATGTATGTATGTATGTATGTATGTATGTATGTATGTATGTATATACAGTAAGGACTGCTGAGAGACACTCTCGAACTAAACTGCCTAAAAGAGGCAGCTGAGCCACCTAGCCAGGAAGAAACAGAGACCATCTTAGCTACCTGAAATTGGCTCAGACCATCTGAGCTACCTGAACTGGGCTCAAGGTTTCCTGCTTTTATGGGGTTTTGGTGATGCAGCTGTCTCTGGGTTATTTCTGATCCTGTAAGTAACCCTTCACCCATACTCCAGTAACCAACCCTAGGGAAACTCATTGGTTCACCAAGTTGGGTTTCGGTGTTATTCTTTTTGATCTCTCATCAGTTCTCTATCTGGGGTAGGTAGGCACTTATTCAGTCTTCCCAGGAATACTGTGACACACACCTGCGTATGATTACATGTCAGGGCAGGTGGAGTGATAAAGAACTTGTTTGGTCCTAATCCCCTGCTCCTCCCATACATTAACTGGAAAGCACTAAAGTGCCCATGTGTGGGAAAATACAGCTGAAGTAGGTACAAAAAGGACTCACTGAAGATGCATCTATGAGTACAGTAATGGAGAATAGTATGTAATGCCACTTAAAGAGTTATTAGTTTAAGATGTTATATTAATTTATGATGTGGAATATTTGTTTAATGACACAAACGTGTTGCATTCTTTAATGCTGGAACTGTTTAACTCTATGAAACTGTGTTACTTTGCCACACCTGAATGGTCTAATAAATAGCCGAGTGGACGATAGCAAGGCAGGAGAGGGATAGGCAGGGCTGCCAGGTAGAGAGAATCTAGGCTGGAAAGAAAGAAGAGCTACGAGGGAGAAAAGGAGAGAAGAGGAGGATGCCAGGGGCGATTCACCCAGCCACGTGACCAGCCTTGGAGTAAGAAGGGAAGAAAGACCATGCCTATCTTTCTCAGTCCAACTCATCTCTCCTGAAAATTGGTTCAGAACTTCCAGCATCACACAGTCCCTGATAGGTATTGGACTATTTTTCACTCTAGAGTGTAGGAACAGTAAGTAATTCCTTGGACTAAGCAAATATAACGTGGTCCTCTTTCTGGAAGTTTTATTTCTATATGGAAGTGTTTCTATGAGAGTTCAGGTGAGAGGGGTAGTGTACTTGGGGGCTTTATCTTCAAAGGGGGCCCTTTTAAAATCTGTAATGATTTACTCCAAAGAAAATGGAACGACATTCCAATACATCAACTTCCCTCACAGAACTCAACCCCCAGAAACTGTTTTTATAAACTGCAACAAAGAGTATTAGGCAAGCTAGAGACTCCACTCAGTTAAATACGCCAAGAATCTCATAAGTACGACAGTCATGTAAGTCTCATTAAGCTGGTCAAATGACCTTCCCACGGCAAAGCTGGAAAACGATTTCATTTATACACCTCCCAAGACCAGGTAGTCAGCAGAAACAGCCCTGCCTGGAGCGGGAGGGGGATCAGTCTGGGATTCGGCTACCCGAGCCATCTTTCCAGTTCTTGGAAGCATACTGTAGACAACTGACAGCGCACTACATTCTAACAGCGATCTCTGAAAGCACTGTTCCGGTCATCTCCTCCCTAGACATGACCAACGCATCAAGACCCGGTAACCCAGCCTAGATCACCGCAAAACCCCCCACCCCAAAACGGGTTCTGTACGCTTTACATCCACCCACAATTCCGTTCTCGGTAAGCTTTGGACCCTCCCTCTGACCTGCAGAGTGCCTCCGGCTTGTAGAGCTCCTCTTTCCTCGCTAGCAGCTACCTGCAAGTCAAATAATCCAAACCCAAGCTTGTAGAACAGCAAACAGTGCATCCGCAGCACCGAAGTCGAGGGATGACCCTTGAGATGTGTATGCACACAAGGAATGCCAAAGCCGGGTTTCCATGGCCCTTGCTTGTGACGTCACACAAGGCGAGACTACATTTCCCACAAGTCTGTGGGGGGGATTTCAGCAACCCTTGAAAGGATTTGAATATTTCCTAGGTTTTTAGTTCTGTTTCCTGAGATTGAGGGTGTCATAGACACCCATGGCAAAACACCAATGCACATAAAATTAAGATGTTTCTTTTTAATTCCTTCAATGACTTCGGACATGGAAATGCCTACAGAAAGGATAACTATTCAGAAAGAACCATCAAACAAAGAAGAATTTGATTTATGGTACCAACATCTATTCTTAGTAAAAAATGTTTATATAAAAAATATATATCTCCTCCCTTCCTAGTACTCTGGTAGTCTCAATTTATGTAAAACAAATGCTGGTTTTGGAGTTGGATTTGGCTTTCCTTCTCTCAATTCAAGCATGTTGTTAACATTCAGAGTTTCTGTCTCATATTTTTAAAAAAAGCCAATTGCTGTAAGACAGAAGAAACAAAATCTAGGGACTGTTATTTGTCAAAAATCAACTAGCTTTTGTAGCAGGCTGGTCTGGAACTCCAGAGATCCACCTGCCTCTACCGCCTGAGTGCTGAGATTAATGGGATTAAAGGTGAGCGCCAACACCGACCAGCCTTTCTAAAATCCTAATTTGTCTCTATTTTCATCTTTATTGTTAACATTTTCAGTATGTATACCAATGAAAGTTAAACTTTCTGTGTTGATATTAATGTTTCAGTCTTCCACAGTGAACAATAAGATCTCCTAACCGCAATCATTGAAATCTCCGGAAAGAAGATTGGGTCCCAATTCATAAATTCCACTTGATTCAACTTGATGTCTTTGAACTAGTAAATACCACTCTAGGACCAGTTTGGAACTAATACTGCACTAGACAATTCCAAACTAGTTAGCTGTAATGGTGCACCTTCTTATAACACTCTGGTCAGAGCTTCAGATAAGAACTGCAGTCAAGCATCTACTGAAACTCAGAGACTAGTTACAAACGTTATAGTTAGTCCTCTTGAGACTTTCCGTTGCCTTATTTTTTCCCTTACAGGATCCCATCAAGTCACCATGGTCCAAATCCTAAGAAAAACAGGACCCCATTTCCCTACTGTAGGCATTAAGGGTATCATTAAGGGTATTCTCTCTCTCTCTCTCTCTCTCTCTCTCTCTCTCTCTCTCTCTCTCTCTCTCTCTCTCTCTCTCTCTCACCACTGAAATGGGGATAATTATCACCTACTTAGGGTTGGTTTTAAGTTGTGTAGACTTGGGTATGGAAGATGATGGTCAGAGTTGGGTATCCCTTTTAGAAAAGTTTAAGGCAATGGATGGGAAGAGTATGGTTAGGATGGGATATAGGTAAATTAACATTATTTTGGCAACTATTAGCTATAGATAACTTACATGATTAGATTCTTGTATGTTGACTGTGTAGTGTCTTCTCTCTGTTTACGATGTTTTGCACACAAATATAAAGCTATGTGTCTGTGTGTAGTATATTGATACAACATAGGATATTTTATCATGTTGCACTTTACAGTTCTACCTCTAGTCAAGACATTTCAGTTCTATCTCTGTTGTTGAGATTCATATATATATATATATGAATATTTATATGTCATATATATTTACAATTCTGAAGTCATTGTCCTTGAGCAACTATGTTTCTGAGAATTACAGATTATAGTTATCCATGCTTCTTATACCTATGATGTTAATCAGACATAGATATTTGATCTTTAAACATTTCAAAGCACTGAAGAATATGGCTTTTAAGTGTTTTAGTAACTAGTACTCTGTTGACACAAGACACAATTGCTCCTGACAGCATAGAGCTATTCCTGAGAGTATGTTGGGCACTGATGACACTCCATCTGGAGTTTATTCCCTCCTTGACTATGGGCCTTTTGAGCAAAGAACTGCTCCCACCTCTACTGCTGACCTTGGACATGCTGTCCTAACTGGGCTTGCAGGAGATAACCTTAAAGAAGACTGCTGAACCTTGCCAATTCAGGGTAAGACAGTTTTTCAATTTCCCTGCTTCTGAGATGATCCATCTGATACTTTAGATCTTAGACAAAGTTAGTTGCCCCCCGACATTGCTGTGAGACCTTGGGTGACTATCCAGGTAGCCTGCTGCTTCTGTCTCTGCTTGCACCTTTAGGAAGTTACACACTTGTACTTCCTGCCTACCCTACTATTTTTATTTTCCTTCTCAGGTCTTTGATGAGGTTGAAGACTAGACAGTCATAGCCATATCCTCTCTTATCTTAGATAGACAAGATTTAATCTGCCCATATTAGGACTGCTATCAGAGTAATCTCTGTTACGCCTTTGCCCTGACACTGGACATGTATACTGGACATGTAGTATATATGTATTGCTCAATGTTGCTCTCACTGCTAGTAAGTTTTAATTTGTGTATGTTTCCTTTTCCTGGAATATATTTGACATTTGTTATCACTGTATATAGTCTTTGCATCAGGCTTAAAACCTTCTTCTTTAGACTAAAAGGGGAATTGTTGTGGTCTTGCTGGTGAACCTGTAATGGTGGCCACACCTCTTTGGGCGTGGCTTCAGGTGGACAGAAGCAGAAAGAGGGAAGCTTGAGGCATGGCTTCTTTTGCACCATCTTTCTCTTGGGTCATCTGATCTGTTAGGAAGGGCAGAAAAGCACTCCTTCAGTTCTTTGTATTTTTCTGTGTAAGTGTTCCTCAATAAACACCCATTTTTCATTTATCTTGGGTCTAGTGAAATCATTACACCCACACCTTCACAAGACATAGCAAGCTATTTGGAAAGCAGAACAAGGCAAGGGATGGACATGCCAGTTGCCAGAGCAAGGTAAGGCAATGCATACCAATGGGCAGGCAATGCATGGCAAGGCAAGGCATGTGAATGACAAAGAAATGCAAGGAAAGCCTAGGAATGTACTTGACAAAGCAAGGCAAGGTATTCTGTCAAGTCAGGGTGTCAACTTCCCAGCTTCTGTGCTGGTCAGTCAGTGACAGTGCTAGGTCACAGCCAAAGCTGGTTGGCCCAATGCTGCTGTGAGACTTTGGGTGACTGTCCAGGTAGCCTGCTGTTTCTGTCTTCGCTGCAACTTTTGGAATCGCTCGCCTGCACTTCCTGCCTACCCGAGTATTGTTGTCCCCTTCTCAGGTCTCTGATGAAGTTGAAGATAAGACTGTCACAATTATTGTTCTCTCTTCCTAGATAGAAATATAAGGTACAAGACTTAAACTTTCCAGTTTAGGACAACTTCATAGTAATCTCTGTTATGCCTTTACCCCAGGACTGGACATGCGGTTCATGCCTATTGCTCTATGCTGCTTCACTGGCAGAAGGTCTTAAATTGTGTATGTTTTACCTTTGCTTCTCTTAGAGCACACTTGATATTTGCTATCATTGTATATAGTTTTGTATCAAGCCTAAACTTCTTTAGACTAAAAGAGGAATTACAGTGATATATTTGCCTGTGTACTTGTAACAGAGGCTATGCCTTTTGGGCATGGTTACAGGTGCGGCCATAACCAGTTAAAGAGAAAGAATCAGGGCTTGGTTGGGGGGGGGGCTTCAAGTCATGTAGAGCATCAGGGTGGCAGGTGTAATGGGAATGTTTCTGATCCCGCTGGGTCCCCCTGCCCTTACTTGATAACTGTTTTGTTATATATCATTTTACTACGTTAATGTTAAGACCATTCTTTTTATTTAGACAGAAAAGAGGAGATGATGGGGGAAGTCCTTCAGTGCATGTTTCTCTTATTGGTTAATGAATAAAACACTGATTGACTGATTGGTCAGGCAGGAAGTAACGTAGCTGGGCAGAATCAGATTATAAGCAGAGACAAACAGGAAATCGCTCTCTGCTCTTCTCTTCTCTGCGGATATGCTGAGCAGTTGACAAGTAGGACGCCAGAGGAGTAACAGGTCCCTGGACCTTTCTCAGGTAAGAGAAGAACAGGTGGAAATACTTAGATTAGCAGTTATGGGTTAACAATTAAGTCAGAGCTGGCTAATAAGAAACCATATCTAATGACCAACAGCTTTTATAATTAATATAGCATCTCAGTGTGCTTCTTTGGTGCAAAGAAAGGCAGTGGGACCTAGCCAGGTCAAGGAAACTCCCGTTACACTGCAAGGCATATAAGAAAAGTAAATCCAAGGAATGTAAATGTCAAGGCACGGCAATGCAAATAGTGAGCATTGCAAGCCAAGGCAAGGGATGACAAAGGAAGGCATTAACTTGGCATGGGAAAGCTAGGCAGGGATAGGAAATTCAATCACATGACAAGAAATGCAAGGCATGCAAATGAGATGGTGAGGCAAGGCAATGCACTCACATGGCAAGTCAAAGAAAGGCAAGCAGGTGCACAGCCAGACACGCCAAGGAAAGTCATAAGCATGGTAAAACACGCCAAGGGACGGCAAGGCAACGCATGTGTTTGACACGGGAATCCAAGGCATGGAAAGGAAAGGAAGAGAGGAATGCACATGGACACTCATCTATTTATCTAACCTTTAAAATATTCTTTGAAATGTACTGATTTACTTTTTACATTCCATCCAAGTTTCGCCTCCCACCCCTCCCCACTTTCCTGCACCCTATGTCCCATCTGCTCTTTGGAGAGGGTAAGGCCTCCCCTACTGGAAGTCTACAAAGTGTGTCCCATTATCTTCTTGAGGCAGGACCAAAGTGCACCCCCCCCGCGCCATATCTTGGCTGATTAAGGTATTTCTCCATTGTATCTATCATAAAGACAGGATCTTCTTTCTCCCCCCACAATGGATGGGGTTTCTCTGTGAAAGAGTCCTGGCTGTCCTGGAACTCACTCTGTAGACCAGGCCATAGATATGCCTGCCTCTACACCCCGATTGAGTGCTGATGGAACTAAAGATTTGCAGCACCATTGCCTAGCCTGATTCCACATGTTTCAATGAATTAGTTGGGAGAGGAGCCTCCGCACATAGCCTTGGAAATCACTACCTAGACCAGACCTGCCCGCAATTCAGAA